TACATGGCTGCACGTCTCTGCACCTCGAGATCGACCGAAAGGACACCCGCCAACACCGGCAAAGCCTCAGTGCTAACCGTCCTATATGCCTTACACAAGAATATCAGTGCAAGTCGTTGGCCTTGGTTTGCGACGGACAGCGCCTACGGTCGCCCTATCGGCCCATACAGGTGCACCATAGCACATAGAACCTAAATAAGTAGCTCCGTATATGATCTTTAATGTATTAAATGATAGACCCCATGTCGCAGTTGATATGTCCTTGTCAATGCACAGAAACTCTTTTTAGACTTTCATTAACTATTTTAATATGTTCGATAAATGAAAAGTTTCTTTCTAAAACTAATCCTAGGTAACACACTGAGGTTTTATTTTTTACAGTAACATTGTCAAATCTAATGCTTGGCGGTGATTTGAGGTTACCTTTTAAAAGTAGCTGGAAAGTTTTGTTGGGTGCAAAAGTTAAGCGATTACGTTCACCCCATTGAGATATCAAGTTCAAACATCTATTGGCTGATCTCTCAAGTCCCGCCCTAGTATCAGATTCCACCAGTAATAAGCCGTCATCAGCATACGCGTTCAGAGTACATCCGGATGGTATTGGTATCGCAAGAAAATCGTCGAAGCCGATATTCCACAAGTATGGACCTAGCACCGATCCCTGAGGACATCCCATTTTATAGATAGAGACTGTCAAGAGTTTATTTACTACTGTGTATTTAAACAATTTATCAACACTTTCGTAAGGCACGACTAGAAGAATATCGCCTCCTGCCTTTTGAGATTAAGTCAAATCCGGGACGTGCCATAAGAATAATTATGTTTCTAATAAAAACTATATAAAAATATTTTTAGTCTATATAATATTAAATATATAATCGCGAGTGAGTAGATAAGCATATCTATTAGTCGGAAGATGTTATAAAATTATTTACTTACGATTGTTGAACGAATTGTTTTCATCGGATTGGCTTTTCAAAGCAATTGTTTGAACAAACAATAACGACTGCATTTCGTGTGCAGTTCGTTATTTGTTGGTATTTTATGCGTTGAACCGATAGTGAACGAGTCCAGGGGTATCCAACGTTTGTGTCTTAAAGCTACTCAAAATACTCCCTGGTATAAAATACGGATCATTATCTTATAATTTAAAAAAAAGCCCTAGATTCTACTCCATTGTATTCCAATTACCATTTGCTTATAAGCAATTGTAGTCTTTGTAGGTAACAATAACATTTTACGGATTCATCGAAATACGAGATCAAACTTCCGATGGAGTTTCCAACTAACTCGGAACACCGTTACACATGGTTATACTATTGTTTCGAGGAAAATCTCCATAATTCCATTCTGCACAATCTTTCAATGCGAGTTTCTTTTTGTAAATCATTACACTGTACTGTTTATTTCCTAAGCAAAGTGATAGCTGTTGCAAAGACACCACATTATATAGATTAATTTAAAGTACCAGAGGTTTAGCGGTTGTTAGGAAGTACAAGAATGGTTTCTATTAATCCATACTTATTATATAAATGTGAAAGTGTTAAAAAGTTAACCACTAAACCGATTTAAAAAGTTCTTTCACATATGGAAAGCTACATCAACAGTACTACTAGGCTATATAGGCTACTTTTTACCGCGATGAACGACAAACACGCGGGCGGAGCCGTGGGCAAAAGCTAGTAATTTCTAATTTTATTCAATTTCTATCTGCCTAAATACTTACTTACCCTTAAAATAGTAAACTTCGGTACATATTAGATCCCTGTGTTTTGACTGTACCGGTCCTGGCATGTACTGTAATGCGATGAACATACGAGTAATAAGGACTACTAGCCAATGTCTGCACACAACACATGTATAATCCACTGAATATATTATTTTCCCCAAACGTAAATAAGTACCTGAAAGTTTTCTAATACAGTAAACAATAATGAAATGATCCCGTTCATTTTGCATCACTTAACCGTCAAAAATTATTTTCCTCTTTTTGCGTTTTAGATTAGAAAGACTTAAATAATACTTTAGTCTTGAAATTAATATCACTTGTATCAAAGTCATTTTGCTTGTGGCAGTCTAATAAAGTCTAATAAACATTCATTTTACACTTTTTTAAGAAATATGGTGAGAGGAAGTGCGGAGTACTTAATTTTTAACTATAAATGGTTTAATAAAAAATTATGTAAATATACAGCTACATAAAATTGTAGGTCCAGAGTATAAAATTTTGTCCCGTCAAGGTACAAATCTATACAAGGACATTAAAAGTTATGCTGGTCCATTAAAGAAAGACCAAATGATCGAAATTCAATTATTTCCCTAATTTAATAAAATATTTCTTTCCATAAGGTTACGGTAGCGGTTGTAAATATATGAATCGATCTAACTAAACAATGAACGAACGAGCGAGATAGTATAATTTACATTCTTTACATGACTCAATTAATTATCGTTATAAGGGGCTGTTCCCTGTGTCATAATGTTATCTCAGTAAATATTAGTAGTAGTAGTAGTATAATATTTAAGATAATGATATAATATGTTAATAGAGAATGACGCTTTATTTATGCGTACTTTATTTGCAGTACCTAATTATACCTTCAAACGAGCAATTCTGGTATAAATCTGAATCTCGAAAACGGCTCCAACGATTTTCATGAAATTTAGTATGCAAGGGATTTCGGTTAATCGATCTAGCTAGGTTTCATTTTTAGAAAATTTACCAAAAAAAAAGATATCCATATCCAGGTACTTATCATTACAGCAACCAACTCACATTTGCTACGTAACCGGATAATTCGAAAAATCCGCTCTTTCAACTTCAGAACCTACATAGTTTGTTTAGTCTATACTCATTGTGATTATACTGCGTTACGTGATGTACTAATGTTTATTATTAAAATTGATAATTATGACTGTGAATCATATGTGTGCGATGCGATGCATCCTTTACCAGTTTCATATCATAATCTTCTACGTACTTACTTGGGTACCTGACCTTTTGTTTTTTTTTTCCGTGCGGAAATCCCCTCGGATACCACCTGTCCGTGGCATGTCGGACTCGAACCGACTAAAACCGCACGCCATCTCGGGTACTAATAGTCGGGGAACCAGGTATACCCTAGAAAGGAAGTCCCTGGTGCTTGGGTACCTGACCTGACCTCACATTTGTAGTATATACAACAGTTCTAATCAACAAACAAGCGCGAGACCTACCACAGGTGGTAAAAAAACAAAGGGAACACAGGAAGGGGTCATCTACATGCCGTAGATTGCCCGAGGTACGTTGGGGTATCTGGGATTTCCTTTCTAGGGTTCACCTGGTTTCCCGGAAACTGGTACCCGAGATGTCGTACGGTTTTTGGTCGGTTCGTGTCCGACATAACCACCCCACCGGTGGGTGGTATCAGAGGGGATTTCCGCACAGGAAAAAAAAAACCGAAAGAAGTTCTATATTACGTAAAAGTAATTGTGTAATACTTAACATTTTTGTTAGCAGGTTTCAAATAACTAACGATTAGTATTATCACACACGGGAAGATAAAATATACAAGGTGTCTCAAAAGAAAGTTTATATTTAGTAGATCGATTAAAAAAAAAGTAAGCAGTGTATCGAAAAAATGTTTATTAATTATTAAAGTACACAATTTGGGAATTTATTTCTTAAAAATAATATCGTCCAAATGTAGACCCTCGCGTTCGCGGCACTCATTTAATCGAACAGTAAAATTACTTATGACGGCTCGGCAGGTGGACTCAGTGATGGCTGCCATTTCGTGACGGATATTTTCTTTCAAATGCGCCTGGGAAGTCGGTTTATTCGCGTAAACTTTAGATTTAAGATAACCCCATAGGAAAAAGTCCATAGGGGTTAAATCAGGACTGCGTGGAGGCCAATTTATGTCACCTCTCCTGGAGATCAATTTTCCTGAGAAAATTTCACGAACTCGTGGCAGAGACGTATTGGACGTGTGTGACGTTGCTCCGTCCTGGTGGAACCATGTTCTTGCCATGCCAGGAGAGTTTTGCAGTTCAGGCGCCAAGAAGTCGTCTAACATCTCCACATAAGGCTCTGAATTCACTGTAACTGCACGCCCCCTTTCGTCTTCAAAAAAGTAAGGGCCGATAACTCCGACATCGCAGCCCATACGGTCACTTTAGGAGAATGAAGGGGTTTCTGACGTTTGCGTTTCGGATTCATTGCACTCCAGTAGCGGCAATTCTGCTTATTTACATGTCCATTAACATGAAAATGAGCTTCAAGATGTTGGTAAACGTTGAAAAGCGCTCAATCGCCTGATTTAAGAAGTCAAGCCTCTGACTGGCATCTTGGGGCTTTAATTCTTGCACCAATTGAATTTTGTAGGGGTGCAGCTTTAGGTCTTTGTGCAAAATGCGGTGTAATGATGATCTATGCACATTAAAAGCACTTGCGCGCTTCCTTTGAATTGAAAGGTTCGGGTCGTCACGAACAGACTGATTAACACTCTCCACGTTTTCTACCGTTCTTGATGACCTTGGTCGCCCGGATTTTGGTTTTGCCAGCGTTGTACCGGTCTCTTCAAACTTTTTGACCCATTTTCGAATAAGAGGAATGCTTGGCGCATCATTTAAATGGCGAAAACCTCGAACACTACAGAACCTTCTACGCGCTACAGTCACCGAATCACCGTTTTTGTAAAACTCTCGCACGCACAACGTACGGTCTGCTCAAGAGAAACGCTCCATAGCGACTGAATTCCCAAGACCCAGGCTACAGATTGACATAACCCCCGCGCCCCTCGGACTCGTTGCGTTCACGCAGTAAGCTAAATAAATATAAACTTTCTTTTGAGACACCTTGTATTATCAATACCTACATCAAAGTTGTTATTAAATACTTTGTATTTAAACTGCAACTAAAACGAATGACCGGCGAACGCAACATTGTTCACCATAATTTTAACTTGTTAATATAAACTATGTGTGAAACTACTAAGATCTATAATTCATTGTTACAGAGAACGAACGGAGAATTAAAGCGAACAACAGGGAATATAACGCGCAGTTCCGTTACGCTGTAAGTATATTTTTATTTGTATTTATAATAATTATTGCCGCCATAGCACCTGCCTAATTGGAAACCATTGTAAAATTTGACCAAATGAAATGAGGATAAACAGATTTATTTCATGATTTTTTTAAGTCAGTCACCACTAGTAGAATAACTGGTCAACTACCACCTGTGTTTAGTAATTGCAACCTTAATGAAGACGCTAAGATATATTTCATAGTTACTTAATCGTAATAAAACTAAAAGCCTACTTTTTAGCAATCTTTTTTTACTATAAAATAGAGTATTAGTAAGTTAGGGCCATACATTTCGTACTTGGAATGGGGGAGTGCTTCTGGCAGAAGTGGACTTCAGGCATATTCGACTTTTCTTTAGTTAAAAAGGACATCAAATGAGCAATCGTTAGATCAATAATTGACCACCCACTACTGGGCCGCAGATCCTAACTAATATTATAAATAAAAATGTGAGTGTATTTGTTTGTTATTCACTGTTCCGACCAGCATCAAACTTTGCATAGAATTTACCAGGGGAGTAAAAGGACAAATGGTACCTTTCATCCTTGAAAAAGGGATACCGCAGGGATATTTTATTTTATTGTCATAAGACTGCATTAAAGCCGTGTCCAGACGAGTGTAATTTAGTGTCAACAGTGTGGACGGCACACGAACTCAAAGCGAATTGTGTACGCAAATCTATTTCAAGAGCTGTTTCCAATTCCAATTGCTACGAACATGCCGAATAGGAAGGTCGTGATAGCTGGTGCGTCGATGGTGGAAAAACTAAATTGTATAAAAGAAGATCAACTTTACTTGTGAAACTAAAATCTCAGCAAATAAATGGCCAATATAAAAACATTACCCGGATGTCGCCTACTGATTTTGTATATTTGTTAACAATCATTGCGCCTAAAATATCAAGACAAGATACTACAATGAGATCTGCAATTTCGCCGCAAGATAGACTGGCTCTAACACTAAGATTTTTGGCAACAGGGGATTCATATACAAGCCTTCAATACACCTTCAGAATTTCAAAACAGTCAATCTCTTGCATTGTACCAGAAGTTTGTGAAGCGATTATAGAAGCATTGAAAGAAAACATTAAGGTGAGTTTTACATATTTTTATTTATTTATGAAAAAAACAAAATAAGGTTTTTAATTATGTATTATAAAATTAAAATTATTCTAAAATTAAAATTTGAAAATTAAATCAAGCCATCCACGTGTGCATCTTCAAATTATGTAGTACAAAATAAAAATTATCCAAATCAGGTCATCCACAAAATCTACATCTTCAAATGAAACAGGGAGGGAACAGGTGAAGTATATGCAGCAGTAGCGTAACTTGTCTGATTCTGATCTGTTGTATACCCGCTGTAATTTAATTGAGAATTGACTTGTCACTAGATTTTAATCCATCGGTATCGATGGATTAAAATCTTGTGACAAGTTAGTGCATCTTTCATCGGCTTTGAATATTATGTCCATTATTGCTCGCTACTCGTCATTTTAGTACTTCTGTTATATTGGTGCATCTTGCTGCATATAAAATTTTAGGGTTTTACCGTAAAAATTATTTGGATTATTGTTTCGTGGTTCCGGAGTAGTAGTAGAAGCAACACTCTGAAGCACGCCAAGAGCTGAAAGCATACTCATTTTTTTTTATTTCGTCTGATTTCTTTTTTTTTTTCGGCCAGACCAGTCGGTAATAAAAATTCTGAACTGTTATCATTTTTTGCACTTGTAGATGCTCTCTGTTCAGGTTCGTTTGTAATCTGTAATAAAAAATAAATTTATTGTTTCAGCTGAGAAAAACAGAGTCAGAATGGATCCAGATCTCAAACAGATTTGATGAATTGTGGAATTTTGCCCATTGTGCTGGAGCCATGGACTGCAAACATGTGATTCTTGAGGCTCCGATACATAGTGGCATAGAATATCTATACCACACTAATATAGAAACTACAAATCGAATCAGAATAGTGATGTTTGCTTTAGTAGACGCGGAATATAATAATAAATTTCTGGATGTCGGCTGTCAAGGCCGAATTTCAGAAGGTGAAATTTTTAAGAAAATTGAAACTTATATAAAAAACTAAAATAATTCGTTAAGATTGCCTGCATCTGAAGCACGGCTAGGTAGAAATAACGTGGTACCATATGTTTTTGTAGGAGACTCTGCCTTCCCTTTACAAAACAATATAATGAAACCTTATCCAGGAGAATACCCCAAGGGATCGCGACGAAGAATTTTTAATTTTTTTTTTTTAAAGATAACTCCCTCATTAGGAATTAATCCTGTGTCGCGGGGGACTTTACAAACATACACGAAACGGACACAAAGAACACCCAGACTTAGAACAACAATTTGTGGAACACACAAAGTGTCGTCCCATGTAGGGTTTGAACCCACAACACTCGAAGTAGTAGGAAGCGGCTTGGCGACCGCTTAAACCACTACGCCATCCGTGCTGTCAATTACCGGCTACGTAGAGCTCGCAGGATTGTAGAAAACGTATTTGGTATCACAGCATCTGTGTTCAGAGTTTTACCAAAACCCATGCTTCTTCAGCCCGAAACCGTGGAGACTAAAGTCACATTTGAATAATTTTTTGAGAAACACATCTAAAAATTTGTATGCACCCCCTTGGATCACTTGACAGCGACCAAAACGGAAGATTGTGTGAAGGTAGTTGGCGGAGAGATACTGAAATGTCATCTTTACTTCCATTGAATAACAACAGCAAAACAAATTAGGGATGAGTTTGATTACTAATTTACGAACGAGGTTAAGTTAAGTTTCTTGGCAGAATATGTATTGTTAAGTTTTTGTATCAAGTCGAAGAAAACTAGTTGAATGCAGTTACCTCTGTGTTGAGTCGTTTCCTTGAATTATTTCGATCTCCTAAAAATGCCAGCGCCTCGTAAGCAAACCATGTGTACTTTTGTACGTTTCATTTTACAGGTGGGGCTGTAAAATAAATAACAGTTTTAAATATATAATATTAAATTAAAGTAATTTTCAATAACATGTATCGTAAATAAATATACTTACACAGTACCTTAGTAATTAAATGTATTATAATGTAATTTTATGTAACTAAAAGTATGTATTATGTAATGCAATAGAAATAATTATAGAAATACAATAGAAATATTAATTATAATAAAACATACCTTTTCCGAAACTATGACTCTTCTTTACTTTTCCTTTTTCCCTTCGGTGTGAAGCAAGTAAACTAATCATTTTGTTCTTGCATTCTTCTACAACTCGTTCCAATGAGTGAGCAATATCACTTCAAGCATCGTATTTCAGATTGTTTAAAGTAATCCAGATTTTTGGATCCCAAATAGCAGGTTTTTCTTGATACAAGCGATTGTTAGTCACTCCACATCATGAACGTACACACGACACAACCGTCACAAACGCCGTCCAAACGAGCACTGCGAGCGTCTTTGTATTCGCGCAAAAAATCGACAGCCGATGGATCAGCCCGAGCGCCAGCGCGAGCGTTACATGTAATGCTCGTGGCACTACGAGAATTCGTGTTACATTACACTGTACATTGCATTACACGTTACACCCGTCTGGACCCGGCTTAACGCGAGCAAAAGCTAGCTGACTGCACAGTAACAATACAGTTTTATATCTATTTGCAATAATATATTTAAACTTATTTTAAATATATTATAGCAAATATATATAAAACTGTTTATTAGAGGAATAAGGATTTTCTGAAAACTTTGGCGAGTTTTGTAACTGTTTGATTTTATATTTAAAATTTGTAATACTTTACAATTATAAATAATATAATTAGTGCATCCTCTGTATAATCATTGTTGAATTTTAATTTTCGTTTGCGAACAGCGCAAACTGTAACAATCATGTTTCATGTCACTGAACACGTATTTCGCTAGTGATGTAAACTTTTCTAACATTAATTAGGTGTAGGTCGAAATAACCAAATAGTGTAAATTAACAGTTCGCTAAGGTAATTATCACTACAATGGCCATGTACCTATAAGATTTCCTTGAAGATTTCAACAAACGTATAAAATTCTGCGTATACTTTTGCTATTTTTTTTCTCATAATTTTAAATTGAAAGAAGTAAGAAAGGTGATTAGTTGAATTAAGAATACTTTCAGAGATGCTACGTGTCAATACTAACAGTCTAATAACAATCGAAATTTCTTACATTCGTAGAAATATTGATACTAGTTAATATAGAAATATATTACTTACCCACACGAATATAATTTAAGTAATGTTCACAAAATAGTCACAAGGTCCGGTTAACACGTTTTCTCAATCAATGTGTCTGCTATTTATAATCAATATTATGTCTAAATTTATACAAGAATCATCCTAAAATTGCATATGAAGTAATCATAATACGGTTCTCTCTGATTTGTTGCAGAATAACTTCATCAAAACATCGAAGTACAGTATCGTGACGTTTCTGCCGCTGAACTTGCTGGAGCAATTCCAGCGGCTAGCAAATTTCTACTTCCTGTGCCTTCTGGTGCTGCAGCTTATTCCGGCCATCTCGTCGCTAACGCCGATCACTACTGCGATACCGCTCATTGGTGTACTCGCTCTTACTGCCGTCAAGGACGCGTACGACGACTTTGTAAGTTTGCTTTCACTATGTTTGTTTTTTTATAAAATATATTTTGTTTAGTATCTTGACTAAACTTCTCGCATTTAGCAATGTCTTAAAGTAAATATGAATACAATCGTTACAATTTAACATAACTTACCGCACGATTTATTACATGGGATAAGAAAAAGATTTGTGATGCCAGATGTTTCCTGGTTTGTTTACAATTGTTCAAAGAGAAATGTTCTTGATTTTGTAAAAAAGTAATGAATATGAGTTACGGTTTTAAGCTTAACATACAGTTCTTGTAGCCGATGTCGGGACTACGCCGAATCAAATACCACGAAAATTGCATCATGCTTACTTAACCAATAAAATGAAAGTCACGCTTAATTTTTAACGGCTGGCAAATTCGAAGAACTAGATACTTGACCTTTTTGGCCAGTGTTATCAAATTAATATCTTAAACCATATTCCTGTTAAAACATATCACTAGCGTCATAACGAAAATATCCGCATCGATGTAGATTATACTAAAACATTTTGGGACTTAATTGACCTATATTTTCGTTTCTTGTTGTTGTGTTTTCTTCTTACTAGTCGAAAATATACGTCAAATACCTAAGCTTAAAACCTAAAAGTACAAAAAAGCGTTCTGGTAACATACAACTAAGGTAATATGTTCTACGCATAGATCAATATATGTATATAAAATATATACGTATACAGAAAAGGAACTATATAACTTTCAGAGAAAATTAATATTCAGTAAGTTATTGTAACATTCTCAGTAGTACAAGATTTTTGTTCGGTTTTAGCTGCCCGGTGGGTTTAATAACTTAACATTACTAAACTTCGCCCGTTTATTAATTAAATAAAAATATGCGGAAAACCTTAGGCGTCAAACATACATGGCGACTAAAGTACTAATTATTTTATGGGAGTACGGAATCAAATGATTAAACAGACTGCAAGCTGTCCTTGTCTAATGAACAGCGTTGCTAATGCTCGGTGACCTATTATGTCATCTATTGTAGATCAAGGACGACCACATAATTAGTGAGGCGTATCAAAATTTGTTCTACAAAGCTAAAACGTTTTATTAGTATATATTTAAAATTGTAATTGTACAACTATGTTGTTTACGATGCTATGTCTATTCCTCATACTAGTATTTTACGTTTATACACTTTTATGTCTTACTATACTATACATTTCGACTCGCAGCAAAAGATTTCGAAAATACGCTTCTTAATTTCTCTGGAATTATGTTCGGTGTTTTTCTGACGTGGAAAAAATATCTAATCAGTTCCTGGTAGCATTTGTGTTTGCTTGTCTTTTAATGTTTATGGAACTTCAATATCCCCACCCTCATAGCCATCCAAAATGTTTTCAATATTTTACAGTGTAGAAACATAATATATCTTTGAATAAGAAAACTATAGAAAAAAAGGAGAAAGATAGATATATCTTTATGGTATTTCTGTCCTCATCACAGAAATTGCTCAATTGTATTTCTGGCTTTTCTCGAATCCAAGAGAGGAAAGAGACGAATGTATTATAATATAGTTACGATACGATAGATAATAGGTCTTTACCTATGAACTTGCCGTTTTGTATGCAATAAGTGAAAGTACTTATTTTTTCAAACTTTTTTATTTCTGTTATTCGAAGTAATCACCCATGCAATCGATGCTTTTTTGGCAACGCATTGGCAGTTTATTGATGCCCTTCTTGTAAAAATCAGCTGGACGGGAGGCAACAAACTCTTCAAAGGCATTTTGTACTGCCTCTCGGGAATTGAATTTTTTACCCACTAAAAAGTTGCCTAAATTTTGGAAAAAGTAATAGTCGGTAGGTGCAAGGTCTGGTGAGTATGGCGGATGAGAGAGAGCTTCCAACCCCAGCTCTTGCAGCTTGGAGACTGTCTGTTGCGCAGTATGGGGTCGCGCGTTGTCGTGAAGGAGCAGTGGGGACGACCGATTGACCAAAGCTGGTTGCAGATGTGCAAGCTTCTCCATCATTCTCTCCAGTTCTTCACAGTACACATCTGCATTAATGCTTCCGGGGTAAAAAATTCAATTCCCGAGAGGCGGTACAAAATGCCTTTGAAGAGTTTGTTGCCTCCCATCCAGCTGATTTTTACAAGAAGGGCATCAATAAACTGCCAATGCGTTGGCAAAGACGCGTCGATTGCATGGGTGATTACTTCGAATAACAGAAATAAAAAAGTTTAAAAAAATAAGTACTTTCACTTATTGCATACAAAACGGCAATTTCATAGGTAAAGACCTAATATGTATTTACTCTTTAGTCTGTAGGTTCACCTGCAGTAATGGTCTTCCTCAACAGGAACTCTATTCAATGCAAGAAGATTTGTAAATATGACCGACAGTTCAAATAGACAAACAATTAAACAAAGCCATTCAACTTTATTATACTACTATTAATATATGTATATAAATTAAATTATACAATGCATATAGTGATATTAAGTGATCCAATTGCATAGCATTTTATGATAAGCTATTTATACATATAATGCTTATTAAATTATTCACGCTTTGACAAGTAAACTTTAATATTGTCATCAATTAACAGTTGCAACAGCTCATATAAAGTAAAAATTATATTTTATATAAAACATTAATAAACACAGTGTTATAATCGGTTTTATTGTTTTAGTAACGAGAATCATTAAATAAAATTTCAATACGTACAATCTTTAGGTGGTCTTCATGTTTTATCACGACCTTGTCTATGAATAGGCTCCTTTGTAGTCTTGTATGTTCGTATCGGAGACGGTCGGTTCATAAACATACCTACCGTTTACCTGGACTCAGGCTTTTATTACGTTATGCTATGCTATTGGGATCAGTTCAAAAAGGCCGCACTACTTTAATTTTTTATTCACTCCGATTTAATCTCTACAAACTAATATCTTTAAATATAATATTTCTATTAGAAGAATTAAAATGCCAACCAATTACAATAAATAACAGTATAACCCTGATAACCGTAAGTACTTTATTTGTTTTTTTTTTTATGCCATATCTATTATAGTGCTACTGTTTGATATTTAAATACACATGCATAAGGAAAAAAAGTCGGGCGAGCGTGTGCCGTGTAAACCGGCGCGTTAACATTAAGCAACATCACCTTTCGCTATAAGTTTTCCTCATCTTTTTTATTGATTCACTAAAATTGTGCAAAGTAATAGTTTATGATGCTGCTGGTATCTTTTCTGCTTAGTAAGGAAATTTACGACAGCGAGGTGCTCTATTTCTTTTATTATTATGGCGTCAGTCATTTTGGTTTCTCTTGAGAACAACAAAACTTATTTCTCTAATAACAATTAATAGGAAACAAATGATCAAAGCATACAAAAATTTAGGTTAAGGCTCTCAAATAATGTTGTAAACACTCACAGTATTAATAATAATTTAAACCATCCCGATACTAATACTTTCTAACCTTACAGATTCTGCCAGTTCGTAATTTTCTCAAATCTTGTTTTTTAAAACTTGCATAAGCATCTAATTTTACCAAAAATGGTAGTTACGAGGTGTCATATCTAGTCCCATGATATTTAGAATTAATTTTGTTGTAACTTATAAGTAATAAAAACTCAAAACATTTTTGAGTTTGTGTAATACTTGGTTGGTATAGAAAATGTTCTCGGAGTCACTAAAATGTACTTTATATTTATAGGTTTTCATTAGAAATTCAGAATATTCTTTTCAACAACAAGAGCATGTTAACATTCGTCAAATGTAAACGGAAGACTGATTTTTTTTCAGTCTCTTAAACTTATTCTGTAATATTAATAATATTGCAGAACTGTAAATAGCCTTCCAAAATTATATCGTTCACCACCGGATCGATAGAAAACGTAACTTGTTAAGTAATCCGCAATCTTGTATCGGCGCGACGCACCACAAGCGTGTGTGTGACGGGCAATTATCTTCGATCAACTGTCTGCAAATATCAATATAATAGTTTATATTAAACTCGGGTGCTACTCATCAATAATTGTATTGCCTTTAATTATAGAAAACATTTTAATTTAAAAAAATACGACAAATTCGCGAAACGTGCTAGAATGCTTCTTGAACTCGCATTCACACTCGCTTTACTATATTTCTGAGGTTTGCGTACGAAACGGGGTCATCAATGTAATAGATAAAAATAAGCACTTCAAATGTTTATTGTTAAAACGAAAAATAGTTGTTCGGCACACTACCTTAGATGTACTAAACCTCACTGGCTCTCCTTTCTACATTTCAATTGGTATGTTTTATTTTTCAGCAACGTCATCAAAACGATTCGCAAGTAAACCACCGTCGCGCGAAAACACTGCGCAATGGCAAACTTGTGGAGGAGAAGTGGGCGTCTGTTCAGGTGGGAGACGTCATCAGGCTGGAGAACGACCAGTTCGTCGCGGCGGACATACTGCTTCTCAGCAGCTCGGAACCTAATGGCCTCTGTTACATAGAGACTGCCGAGTTAGATGGGTTAGTACATTATGTTTTGTTCTATGAGCTAGTTGCAAATCAGGGAATAAAGTTTTGCAAAGAAATTTTATTTAAAATCCAGAAAATTGCGCTTAAAACCTATGAAATGCTTGAGGAATACCTTATCTAAGAACTGTTAGTTTATTTTTATAGTTTTATTCATCCATATTTTACACTCTGTTAGAAATTAAATGCTACCAATTTTGGTTCTGTCCAATTTGGGTCTATTTGTGTATTATATTTAGAAAAAAAAAATGATTTAAAGTTTCAACTTCATTACAAACGCACTACATACTGTCATGAATGGGAAACTAAAATTATCCAGTAGAGGAACGTGTGACTATGGCACTGACAGTGCCATAGTCAGACGTTTGAGGTTGACGCAGTGACTCAACTTTTCCAATAATCGCCCTCTGAGGGGGCACATTATTTCCTTACGTCCTATAAGACTAAATGCCAAGCTTCAATATGAATCAACGGACTGTAAAAGAACCGCCAAGCTCAACTACATGAGACATGAGATGACAAACATGTCATTTTTTTTGTAAATATTTTTGTTGTTGTTTTTAAAAGTATTGTAGTGTCTTTTATACGTCATTCAAGCCTTACCGGTCTATGTGTTACTGCTCTAAAACTCTCAGATGTTTCAATCTGAAGTCAAAGTGTGGAACCCACTCAATATTTTTTTATCTTCTTCTCTTTTTTGCAGCATTAGTTCTTATAGTATTGGAATTTAAAGTCATTGTTCATTTATTGCAGGGAGACGAATTTAAAATGTCGTCAGTGCCTGGAGCAGACGGCTGCCATGGGGCAGGACGATGCACAATTGGGTGCTTTCGACGGCGAGATCGTCTGCGAAACCCCTAACAATTTACTTAATAAGTTTGAAGGTAAATATCGAATATGATCGGGTCGATCAATACTTATAGTTTATTGTCCTGTTGTCATTACGTAATTTACTTACAGAGCTATGTTTCTAAGTAATTGTGTGTTTCCTGTGTGCCTAGCTCCATCCATTAGCAATATATTTTGATGATATGGTTTCACATTTATTGCGGACAGTCTCTGTTAAATCCACTTGCCATTAGTCCGTGTCATCACTGTGATGTAATAATGCAGCAATCGCTTGTTAGGGTATAGTTATAGGCCGATTACTCTAAAAATATAAATATACCGATTTTGAACGAGTAGTTTAAGTAATAAGTTATTGTTGACTATATTAGATATTCATAAAAAAATCTGGTTCAGTTTTCGAATACGCATTCCATTCTTCAATTCGTGAGAATGTAGTGATAAAAAGAAATATTCAGATAAACGTAACTGCACTTGTACTACTGTACTTTGTATACAAAATTAGTTTTGCTTATCTAGCGTTTTGCAATAATTATTCCAACAATTGTAACTCTTTTACATCACAAGTTTAAACTGCCAACAATTACTGTGAGAATTCTAACGTCCATGATAAAAACGCATACGTAGAACAACCCGCTACTAGATTAAAACATATTTTGTATCAATCTTCTAACTTAAAAATAATGGTAGGTACGTGTCGATTTTTTTTTTTTATAAGCATTTATACCCATTACCCATAGTGCACCATTTGAACAAAAAGCGGCTTTATGTAAACACACTTATCGCAGGAATTTGCGTCAAGTACTTAAACAAATGAATCATTCGAATTACCCTCATGAGTTCTTTTTCTGTTAACCCAGTTAAAGGAAAGTTAATAAATTCTCTGGTGTATTTTCTAATTGAGTTAACAATTTGTACCGTTAACATACTGTAAGTATTATATGGTTCAATCCTAGCACCAACCTAAATCTTTTAGTAATTAAGCTAAGAACGAACTAAAGTCATCCTCAAATGTCGAATAATATTAAGAACAACATTCCGAAATAAGTCTAATATTTATCACAATTTGGAGCATAATTGGTTGTAAAGAATGTCATTTAGGTATACACTAATATTAAACAATTTCCTGTTTAGTTTCTTCTTTCAACGGTATGAGTAGTTTTGTAGCGCAGGCAGAGATTTATTAAACTATAAGTTGAACCCACTCACGTAATTAAGGGCCTATTACTTCTATCCGGTCAAATTGTAAATTAAAGATGGAAATTAGGAGTTTATTGAAAAAGAAAGATGCAATATTTCTGTCGTAGTGATAGAAATATTGCATAGACGGATGGACTGGCGAGCAGGTCAGGGTCGGATATATTTAACTTGAAGTAACCGTTGCCGGGAAGTCGTTAAATGATAAATTATTTTTCATGTTGATTAGTTCTGATAAAACTAGATAATGTCAGCATTTCGTATGCTAGTCATAGGGCCTTAAAAAGAAACGCCAAAACAAACACGGACACAAGCTGACAAGGACTGAAAATGTGCAAGTGCCATTATAGCCTCCAGAACAATCCTTAAATAAATAAGTATATACGTAGGCAAAAATGACGGCTCTGTGTGGTTATAGCTTTTTTAATGTGTGTTTGTGTATTTCCCTTTAGGTACGTTAAGCTGGCGCAATGAGCACTACTCACTCGATAATGATAAGATATTACTACGAGGCTGTGTGCTGCGCAACACATCATGGTGTTACGGCGTGGTCGTGTTCGCCGGAAAGGACACCAAACTTATGCAGAACTCTGGCAAAACTAAATTCAAGCGCACCAGCATAGATAGGCTACTTAATTTTCTTATTATAGGGGTAAGTACAATATAAACACAGTATTGAAAATATATAAGCTAAGAAATATGAACACAAACTTTGCTTTCCAATTTCGCTCAGTCATTATTATTAATTAAAACCACTAGCCATCAGACAAACTAAAACACGTATTATTGCCCACGTTCTTATTTGCAGATATAAAAAACCTGATACTTTTATTATGTTATGTAATTTATTCATAATTTACAGATTATGCACAGAAGTAAAAAATAATCCTTATCGTAATAATCTATGCAAATAGTTGTTACGAATGAAGTTCAACTGTACGAAAATAATCTCATTGTTTTACTCGCATTTTGTGTTTCTTGAATAATTTGTATTTTAAATTACAGCCCGCACTATGTGCGTTCCAATATTTTCACTAGTAACCATGAACGTCTGTAAAACTGTTTTTGCTTGCAATTTTCTATTATTATTAACACTTGATTTAAATTCAATAGAACAGGTTTTTGTTAGACACAATTTCACCGGTCTATGTTACTATTTAACTCAGTTGACATTCACCTAAGCTCAACAACATCTTAGTCTGTTGATAAGTATGACACAGAATTTCATTACTTATAATTATACTGAGGGCCTAGTATGGGTTTATTTCACATCAACACGTTCTCGACACGGCGAGCACGTTTAGCGTTACGATTGGTGAAGATTTCAGTGCGGGCTAATCGCAACGCCGAACGCGGACACCGTAACGATTCAGTTAAACTCACACTAGGCTGTATAGGCAAAGTGCTATGTACCTATACACCTGTAACACAGGTGTAACGGTGATAGAAGATGTAACCTCTATTTGAAATAGTGACTTTTGTTCGACAGATAGTATTCTTCCTGCTATCGATGTGCGTATTCTGCACGGTGGCGTGCGGCGTGTGGGAGTGGATGGTGGGGTACTACTTCCAGGTGTACCTGCCGTGGGACACTCTGGTGCCGGCCGAATCCACGTGGGGCGCGCTCGTCATCGCGCTGCTCGTGTTCTTTTCCTACGCCATCGTCATGAACACTGTTGTGCCTATATCACTTTATGTTTCTGTTGAGGTTAGTTACATCACTACTACATATAGGTTATATCGATAGAAAATAGATTTAGAAAATAGTAAATTTATGCATGAATTGGTGGGACGTTTTTACGGTAAACATATACATTGGGAATAAATGGCGTTGTGAATATAATATCAGAAAATCCAACTTAAAAAAGAAATCGCATAATGTAGGCATCATTAAGAGACCCCATAAAATAAACGATAAAAAGTAACTTAAATTCGTAACTAACTTAGATCTAATTATAATGTATATATGTATAAAAGGAAACCAAAGCAAAACTGATTAAATATCATTACTGGAAATTCCCCGCCGTAATAATATCCTACAAGGATAAAGAGTAATTTAGAGAATATTGTAATTCGAATCCACTCGTAACACAAGCATTTAACTTAGCTGGCTAAGAAGAATGGGGTCAAGATAAACTGTTTGGTAGACCTAGAAAAAATGTGTGTCGTAAAATAGAATAATATCACTTACAACTCTTTTTGAGGACAGACGAAAATATAAAAAAAAGTGTGTGTCAGCTCCAACGCACGAATGGAGTTTACACAAGTATACAAGTTATACACACACCTGTGAAAGGAGCGCACGATGAATGCACCGGGGTACGGTAACGAGGTCATTCGATCACTAAATTTTACTCTTCATATTTTTTTCTTACCTTATATGAACATCGATTCTTAAGGAGTAAACTCCAAAAATGTATAAATTTATAAAATTTTTGATTTCATAAAAAACATACAGGAAAAATAACATTTCTATCTTCAATTTAATTTATTACAATAATGTTATAAAATTTCCTGTTTTGTTCTAGGTTATAAGATTTGCCCAGAGTTTCCTCATTAACTGGGATGAGAAAATGTATTATGAAAAGACTGGTACTGCAGCTAAGGCGCGGACGACCACGTTAAATGAGGAACTTGGTTAGTATAACTATATTTATAGACTACATTCATATAAACTGAACACTCAGTACATTTTAGCCGAATAGATTTTATAATGTGTATGATCATTGCTTAGAAAATATTGTAATACTGACAAAATTTATTACCATTAAACTATATTGTCCGTGTGGTGACGGATTAAGAATATGGAGTGAGCCGACTAAGGGAGCAAACTATGCAGGACAACAGCACTGCAAAGAGAAGGTAAACTTGAAACAAACCCTATACCAACCCGTCTGGCCAGCGTGGTTTAGTAGACCAAAACCTCCTTTCTAAGGAGAGGCCTATGTCCAGCAGTGGACTGTTAAAGGCTGATGATGATGATGATGATGAAACTATATTTGTCACAATATGCATTCATTACAATTGTCTCTTTAAGGTCAGCCTTTGCTAGTTTACGAATCAAGTCATAAAGGCCCTCTTTAGCTAATTTTAATTATAATTATTTAACAAAAAATCTTTGAATGATATTTATTGTAATATATCTATCATTAATAATCTACTATTTTTCTTTTACAGGTCAAATCCAGTACATATTTTCAGATAAAACGGGCACATTAACACAAAATATTATGACTTTTAATAAGTGTTCGATAGCAGGCGTCTGTTACGGGGACGTCGTAGACGAGACCACCGGTGAAACGATAGAACTTAATGAGGTATGTACTCGTTCACTGGCTATACATCACACCAGAGTACATAATCACTTTTATATTTGACGAAGCACATTGCCATAGAAAATAGAGATCACAAAAAGTGCATGTAGGTTTTATGCATTCTTTAAACTGTCACCGAGCACTTGAGGAAACTTGCTGAGACTCGCACGAAGTCCAAGCATCCATTATTTTGCATGAGTTTGATTTTAAAGTTTGTTATTCACTCAAAGTATGTTTGACCTTTTCCGTTTTATATTGTCAATGACAATATACTTTGTCCACGTCCAGCCCATGTTTTCGGGTTATGGGAATGTTTGGAATTCATCTTTTGTCCTATGTATGTTTGTGTTTGTCTTCCAGTTAGTTTGTGGATCATAGTACGATAATTAATAACATAAATCACTACATCAACAGACTGTTTCACACACAACTCCCACATAGATTAAAAGTTCTCTGAATACATAGATTTTTTTTGCATGGTTCTCACTGCAAACTGAAAAAAAAATTGTCCTACTTGCCACCATATATATTATTAATATGGGTCTCAACAATAAGTTAAGAACCCGATTAAAATTTGATTCAATAGTCCAATTCGAAATATTGATACTAGCAGGATACTAGTGTGATAATAGTTGGTGATCGATAATTCGACTGTCGCTGTTCTGATATGTACATTAATTTCGTATTTTGGTATGTAGTTCTCCTGTAGAAATAAGTTTTTTTAAATAGTAAAAGAAAATGTAACCCATAAACAAAAGAAAAGAAATATAATTTTTATATTAATTGTGTATTTGATACCAGTACTATTTCTTGTAGAAATTTAAAAATACTGAATAGGAGTAAAAGTTAACAGACTTGCAGATAATATAAGATAAACCTAAAATATAATATTATTACAGTGCAAAAACAAAGAACTAATGTTACAGTAAGAATTTTTTTAACACAAACCTTTAAAAGAAATCAGCGCGTGAATCACTATTCACTAGACTGACTAAATCTAAAGCGAACAGTTAGCGTAGCACATCTGACTAAATGCGAACTCTGGACACGATTCGGTCACAGAGAGCAGTCTGACATGTACGGTCAGTCAGATCGATAGGTCACAAGGTAGCCGGCTAGGGTCGCTAGGCAGCGGCGGCAGGCAAACAGTGATATGTATGTGGTGCAGCGGCGGAGCGGCGGGCCGGCGGGGGCGGCGGGGCAGGCGGGGCCGGCGGGGGCGGCGGGAGGCGGGCGAGGCGCGGCGCGCGCGCGCCTGCTGGAGCTGGAGCACGAGGCGGGCCGCAGCACGCCCGGCGGCCGCCGCCCGCGTGTACGAACACTTCACCGGACGCTATCGCTTCGCATACGATAACCCTGTACTCTGTGTCTGTGTAATTGCTCCTCACCGTTTTCTTCGCGTTAAACAGGACCAGTTTGTAAAATTTAATTCGCATGATCTTTCTCCACGACTCGACACGACGAGTTATTTACGATTCTAACGTTATAAAATAATCGTTCTCGGAGTACTCGGTTTATCGTATGTCGAAAGATTTGCGTATCTCTAGCGCCTAATACCTTTCCTTATCTATCTGGCCTCCCAAAATTATCTATTTTTCTTCTATGGAATGATTTATATCTAACCGACACGAGTGATATAGGTGACCGCTCACGTCACTTCGTGATTTAGAGTACTACCGCACCTCTATACCAGCTACCTACTAGGATATGACTTAACTCGCCTATTTGGTCTATAACTCTTCTTACAGAATAATGTATTTATTTACTTAGCTGTTTTTTATTAATAACAACGAGACATAGTAACATCGCTTATTCTAAAGTCATAAAACAGATATGTTTATCTATAAAATAAATATTCCAATTACCCGCTCCATTAATACTTAACAGTAACCGAAATTGTGACGAAATCCCGGCTACGGTGCTTCCTATTACCTTATTTAAAAAATACCATTAATCATAAACAACCATTATGAAACCACCGTAGTCGGAAAAATAATATCAAAATCAATAAACATTTATTACTTACATCTAATACTTCCCGATACTCCTGTGCTAACATTGTTGATGTCTTCTGTTACTAAGAGAATGTTTTGGCTATTATTTATTTTTGCATGTTGTGCTTTGCATCGTGTGTTTGTTGAATGTCAAGCGTCTTGATAACACTATAACAGTAGTTTTAGACAAATCTACGTTTTTTTTTTTTTAATATACCTACTTATCTTATTTTTAAACAACATTAGTTACTTAAAATGGATTGTTCACAAAAGATGCTTTTATGAAACTTAATTATGCGATATATTGTTAAATAATACTATATTATATTGAATCTAAGCATATGAAGGTTTAGGGTAGCATGTAACATTTTAACCTTAGCTTGATTTTAAGCTAAGGGGATTTAGTACTTTTCACGGCACTTTGCTAATATCAATCTTAAATCCTCACGAATCATACTAAAATGAATTTAATTGTTATCAACCCTATAACTATTATTAAAAAATCAATAAATCTTCATAAAAAAGTTAACCTGTTATGCTGTCGACGTCTTTATATACGTTTATTGTCGAATTATGAAAATATCAACCTATAAATTCATTAAATCTATTTTTCTTTTGTCAACAATAACATTTATCAAGTTCATAAAAACAAAATGTAGAAATGTCGCCATGAACCCTCTAACATTACCTAACTATAATTTTATCGTATAACAGAGTTCAGAACCGTTGGACTTCTCGTTCAACCCTGAATACGAGCCGGAGTTCAAGTTCTTCGACACGTCACTGCTGGAAGCGGTGAAGCGTGGCGATCAACATGTGCACGACTTCTTTCGGCTACTCGCGCTGTGTCACACTGTCATGCCGGCTCAGAAGAATGGGAGGCTGGAATACCAGGTAAAAAACACATCTCTGTACTCGTTTTTTAAGGTATTCGAAAGAGAAGACATTAAAATTATTTACTCTGAGTTCATAAATCGTAAATCAGAAATTGATATTTCCTGTTTTTAATTAATAAAATCATTAATATTTAATAGTAGTAAGTAATTAATTGTGTACATTATTATCGTACTGCTTATTATTACAAGCGTAATCACTATTGATTACACATTTCGTTATATTTATCGTTTAATTTTAGTTTGTAATCATATTTCATTATCGTTTTGTTTTGATTTCAGGCACAATCGCCAGACGAGTCTGCACTGGTATCAGCAGCCAGAAATTTTGGTTTCGTGTTCAGAGAACGCTCGCCTAATAGTATTACAATAGAAGTAATGGGTAGAAAAGAGGTACGAATGGCTCACGTCACTTTGTTTTATCATAAACATAGAAGTACCATTGATCTCAAAATATTGTTATTTTGTTTCAGGTGTATGAATTGTTATGTATATTAGATTTTAATAATGTTAGGAAAAGAATGTCCGTGATATTGAGGAAGGATGGTGAAATTAGGTTATATACAAAAGGTGCTGATAATGTAATATATGACAGATTAAAACGGAATCAAACGGATGTGAGGTCGAGGACGCAGGAACATTTAAATGTGAGTATGTTTTGTTGACTTATTGTTATCGTTAAAAGCAATTTTCTACAGAACAGCTTCGTGCTAGCCACATCGTCATGCAAAAATAGTCCTATTAAGAATGGTTTTAAAATAAGCTGAAGAAATGATACAGTGATACAATACCGACCTACAATATTTTTACAACACTATTATAGTTGAAGAAAGTAAGACTATCGTACACATAAACGCAAGGTAATAATAGTCGTCTGTCGGTTAGAAATTTGCGGGCGAAGGTCTGCGGACGCTGGCGCTGGCGTGGCGGCCGCTGGGCGAGCAGGACTTCGCGGCCTGGAAGCGACGCCACCACGCCGCCGCGCTCGCGCTGCACGACCGCGACGAGCAGCTCGACGCTATCTACGAGGAGATCGAGACTGACTTGCTCCTCATGGGTCTGTACTACTGCATCTCATCTAGCGTTCGACAATAATATCCTCACACATCTCACACACGCGTCCTATGGTAATCAGACTGCTGATAAACATACTTATACATTTCTAAATTACATACATACGGATAAATTACACCCAGATACAGATTTAGCCGACTATTTGTCATGTGCAAACCTGATCATATTTTAACAAAATGAAATAAAACAATAATTTAAATAACTTAAAGAAAATTAACACTAAAACGAAATTAATTTGTTAACATTCATATCACCATCCATCATGTTGTGGAGGAACGGGTGTCATGTCCCTCCAACACAAAGGGAGGATCCTCCGACCAGGCGAGGTGATCATGCCTGGCGGGCTGCGGCCCAACGGTTGATGTTGGGAAGTTGTATAAATGCTAATCGGCGAGGGAATTCTTTATATCGCGATACAGGATTAGCAATTCTTATTTTAGTAGTTACTCCGTAGTTCGGTGTGTCTTCATTAGATGGCGCTGTAGTATGTTTATGTGGGAGTCGCCACAATGTAATCATCATCCTTTATGTTCACAGGAGTAACAGCAATAGAAGACAAATTACAGGATGGTGTACCAGAAACTATTGCGAATCTCAGTATGGCCGGTATTAAAGTGTGGGTCTTAACCGGCGATAAACAAGGTATGTAACATATGTGTTATTTTATCAGTATCTTTCTTGTACATTGAATTTAAAACTGAAAGTTTGACCTGCTGTACATGATTTATTTATTCTCTACGATCAGTAGGTAACAAAAAGGTTTATCTTGTATGACAGTAAAAGCTCACTTCATTGCGTCAATCCTCTGTCTCTTCTACCAAATTATATTTTTCACTATTGTTAAAACGTCAGTCCATCACGTCTCGCCCCAAAAAATGTAAGAAATGTTTGTAATTTAAATTTTGTTTTCGCATTATTTCAGAAACCGCTATAAACATAGGTTATTCATGTCAGTTATTGACGGACGATATGGCTGAGGTGTTCATCGTTGATGGCTTGTCGTACGACGACGTCGACCGACAACTCGCCAAGTTTAGGGACAGTATTAGAGTCGTCAACACATTTTTGCCTCACGGTGAGTATAAACTGATATCAAGAATATGGTATGTTCTCTTTTAAAACAAATTTCTCTCCTTTCATTTTTCTTTTCAAACTAAAGAGTGTTTTAACCCTCCTTAATTACTGTAGTACATATAAAATAGTGTGTATATTTTGTAAATAAATCATTAATGCTGTAATACGGTAATAGAGTAACAAATCAGATCTGTTTCTCATTATTAAACATCGAGACGAAACGTCTATCGCTTTAAGATGTCATACCCGCTGTTATCGAGTCATTTAATTTTAGCATGTGGTTTGATTATTGAAAACTAATAGACAAACGTGAAAATAGTATTAAAACGAAATATTCAAAACCCTATGTAGTACTTAATTTTCAATTGAAAAATTTATAACTATTCTTCTTTCCTTTAACATCTCTAAGATGTTAAACAAAAACATCGGTCGCTTAATAAATAACTAAGTGAAGACCTCGTGAGGTCTGCATTTGTTCCTCGCTGTTTACTGCTGTAAGTTGACATAGGCGTGACGTCGGTTGCAGGTAGTACGGAGGCCCAAAGTTCAGCGGAGAGAGCGAACGGCGAGGCGGGCGTGTCGCCGGCGCGCGGCGCCAACGTGAAGCTGAACGCGCCCGCCGTGTCCGTCGTCACATTTAGGTGGGAACATAACACACTAGCACACACCAGGTAGAGAGACAAAGACACATTACATCACCGCTACCTTCCGCCACCGCCTTGCGTGCCGTGTTCGTCACTGACCTGTCTGTGTGCGTCTTACCTGTTGCGAACGAATGTTGCTATTGTAGCCGACCATACACTGCTGAACCCTTTTGTGAGCGTATTGTTGATAAACTAGTTACGATTGCTTAAAAAATATAATCGAAGTATTTTAACCGTTTCGGGTGATTTGGGTAAATTGGTAGAATAGTTTGAAATAAAATAGAGTTAATTTCAAAACAATAAACCTGTGCCCTTTTTTGAGTATGCACGAGAATTGAGCTTTGAGACTTTTTACAAATATTTGTGCTGGTTTAGCAATAAATTTCTTTGAGTAGTTCAAATTTATTTTTAGGGTTCCGTAAGTCAAAAGGTAAAAAAGGAACACTTATAAGAACACTTTCTTGTCCGTCTGTCCGTGTGTCACCACCGATTTTCTCAGGAACGGGTAGACCTAGCAAGTTGAAATTTATACCAGATACTGAGGTCTATGGTCCCTCTTAGGCGTATAAAAACCAAGGTCCTGAGTCAACACGATAAAAAGATATGGGCAAATTTCGATTTTCGCGAAAACTTTTAAGTACCAAAATTTACCTTATTTTTTTTTTTTTTAGAATTTTCTCTTTACTTGTGCTTTAAGACCTTGCTTTTAACCAAAATTAACAATTCTAGGTCAACCGGAAGTACCCTATAGGTTTTGGGTCGAAAACCTAAATGGTAGTTCCCGTTGACCTACGAGGGGTGATCAATAAGTAATGATAATCAATATGAAACAGAACTATTAGATTAAAAAAAGTATTTTATTTTTCAACATAATCTCCTTGCAAGTTAATACATTTAGTGTATCTTTTTTCTAAGCCCATGATTCCCTTAGAAAAAAATTATTTGTCTTGACCCTCCCAAAATGCCTCTACTGCGGCCATCACTTCACTATTGTCCTCAAATTTGTTGCCTCGGAGGTGTTCTTTGAGCCGAGGAAAGAGGTAGAAGTCACTGGGAGCTAGATCTGGCGAATAGGAAGGGTGTTCGAGCAGTTCGAACCCCGTTTCTTCAATGGCAGCCATCGCAACTGCGGCTTTGTGAGCCGGGGCGTTGTCTTGGTGAAACAGCACTCCAGCGCGCAGTTTACCGCGTCTTTTTGACTTAATAGCTTCTCGCAATCTTCTTATTTGGCCTGCGTAGTAAGAGCCTGTTATAGTGGCCCCCTTTTCCAAATATTCCACCATAATAATTCCTTCTGCATCCCAGAAAACAGACGCCATAACCTTTCCCGCTGAACTTGACACTTTGAATTTCTTCGGCGTTGGTGAGGAAGCTCGTTTCCAAGTCATTGATTGTTGTTTGGTTTCGGGATCAAAGTGGTGGATCCAGGTCTCGTCCATGGTCACAAAACGCGACAAAAAAATTCTTTATCGGCCTGGAACTTTTGAAGATTCACCCTCGAAATGTCGACTCGTTTCTTTTTTTGCTCGTCGGTTAACATTCTCGGTACCCAACGCGCAGAGACCTTTTTCATATGCATTTTGTTGACAATGATTTTTTGAACGCTGCCATAGGAGATCCCTGTGACCTCAGCTACATGCCTTACGGTCACCCTTCGATCGGCCAACACGATATCTTCCACTTTTTTGACGTTTTCTCCAGTAAGGGACGTGGAAGGGCGTCCCTCGCGATGTTCATCTTCAGTGGAGGTTCTGCCCAGCTTAAATTCCTTTGCCCAGCGTGCGACTGTGGAATATGGAGGAGCAGACTCCCCCAATGTTTCCTCTAAGTCGCTGTGTATGTCTTTGGTAGACATTTTTTTCAGGCAGAGGTACTTGATGACAGCTCTTATTTCATTTTTCTCCATTTTGATGTTTTCTCTTCGACAGTTCGTATTCAAATGAATGTATCTCCCGGTAATGGTGTCCTATTTATACATTTTTTTTAAGCTGAAGTAGTGGATATATAAGCAAGCAGAAAAAAAATAATTTGGGTTTTTGTGCGTTCTAGAAATACTCGATTATCATTACTTATTGATCACCCCTCGTAGAATCACCAAATTTGGCAAAAAGAAACGTCTTACAGCACAAACAAAGGGATAATTCCAAAAGATAAAAAAGTTGAAAATTAAGATAAATTTTGGTACTTACAAATTTTCGAGGAAATCTACGTAAAATCTGAATAGTTACGGAACCCTCGGCGCACGAGTTCGACTCGTACCTGACCGGTCTTTTTTGGAGTACGTTCATTATCTCAATCGCCATATTTATCTTACCAAAACCTTTAACATTCTCTCAAAGACGGCTTGTCTTAGTTACATAACTTGAAACTATTGATATCCCTGCGAGATGATCTGGAGTATTGGAGATTCGGCGACAAATGAGGAATGACGAAACGAAAATGCCAGAATGTGAGTCACGACTGCCTGCACATACCATACCCAGACTCATCAATGACAAGCTAGAATCAAAACTTTCGTGAGTGGTAATAATGATGTATATGTTGTATTATCAAGTAGCGGCAGGACCATTCACTTTTCGGAAAAAGTCTTACATCGGATCCTAATCAAGTCCGCACGCAAGCTTTGTACCAACAAAACTCGGAAAGGAATTTAGAACAATAACATAACCAAAGAAAGAAAAAAAAGGAAAACTTGAAACAAACCCAACGAACACAAACGAGTTGTTATACTTGTTTTTTTTGTGTTAGTTAAGTAAAAAAGACCTCATTATAAACACATTATACATGTAGAAAAAAAGTCTCAAAAATTTAACAAACACAACAATATTTTAGTACTATACTGTGTACCTAATACTCCATCTGCATTTAAAAAAATACTAAACGCTTGGTGAAATATACCTTTGTGAATATAGATTTTTATAATAATCCCATAGTGGTTTATTATTACAATTTAAGTTAATAATGTTGCCTAACTTTTTTATCAATCGTTATTCAGGGTGGCATGAGGCCCTAAATGTTCCGCCTGGGACCTTTCCATCACCTCCTTCCGCGCCATGACATCTTCGCAGAAGGATTCGACAGATATGAAAGATCAAAATGCCCAGGCGTGACTCAATATACTCCTAGTGACTGAGTGCAGGTACTTCTTAAAGCAGTCGTCCCGGAATGGACCTGCGTCAGTCGGAAGGAAAAGATCCCGCGCTGACGCCCTACCGACTGCACAATGACAAGCTGGAGCGCCTCTACGGCGGAAAAGCCACATCGGGACAACCAACGAGCCATCGTGGCTAGGCGAGCGGCCTCTGCACTAAGTGTTGTGGGTTAGATCCCCACATGGGACAACACTTTGTGTGATTCACAAACTGCTTTTCTGAGTGTGGGTGTTCTTTGTGTCCGTTTCATATATGTATGTAAAGTCCCCCGCGACACGAAATATATTGCTAGTGCTAGGTGTCATCTAAAAAAAAAAATGCGCCCGACCACCAGAAAGATACCCCTGATGACCCGGCGCGCCGCCTCATTGTTAAAGTTCGCCTCTCGGGCTGTAACCAAAGTGTCATCAGGGGCGCCTCAGATATCCATCTTGGTCCTTGTATATAACAGTACGCTCCAATAAATAGTCTGCCACTAGTCGCTTTAGGTACTCTAGCACCCCGTGATGATAATGTCCCTGAATGCCGATTTAATACGCTGGCGATGTCTGACACTGCACGCGGCCATGGCTCTTCGGTAACGATCCTGAGACGCAACACAGCGCCGATCATCGAACGCCCTATTCGCTCGCGAACGCTCGAAAACCAACAATTGGACGTCTGACAGATCGCGGCCCACCTCGCAGAGGGGCCGGACGATGCGGGCACTAAGAACCCTCAAATTACCCGCCATGTTCGGCAACACGATGAACCTGTAGGTCGCGACCGAACTGACAGGCTGTCCCGGCATCTTTAACAAGACCAGCTTCCAGCTCTTACAGCACTCACGGAAATGACCAGACACCAAGCCAGCGTCGAACATCTTGGGAAGGGACAAAAACAAACAAACTTTTGTCTGAGTTTAGACACGATAGAGTATAGATTGATACTTTGAGCTTGATATGTTCTTAATCAACATAAAACGTGGTGTTCATAACTGGAAAAATTATAAAATAACAATCGCACAAAACGCGGCTTTTTATTACTTTCTTTCACTTTCTTCAGTTCTGTAATAATAAATAAGTAAAAATAAATGTAACAACATTAGTGTATGCAGACTATGACCAATTGAAATTGATATTCGGATTTTCGATTTTTAGATACCGGTATTGCGGTGATGTTCACACGTCGGTAAAACTTATGTACTTTGACATTTTAGTTTTAGTTGCCCGGTATTGAGTCTATTACGTTATACATGTATACTAGGTCTATGATCATAACTTTTAATCATGATTCTTCTTCGTATCTGCATTCTTGTATCGTCGGAACGAAAGCCTATAAATTGTATATGCGTTGTTGGACACTGCACGCGGCCATGGCTCTTCGGTAACGATCCTGAGACGCAACACAGCGCCGATCATCGAACGCCCTATTCGCTCGCGAACGCTCGAAAACCAACAATTGGACGTCTGACAGATCGCGGCCCACCTCGCAGAGGGGCCGGACGATGCGGGCACTAAGAACCCTCAAATTACCCGCCATGTTCGGCAACACGATGAACCTGTAGGTCGCGACCGAACTGACAGGCTGTCCCGGCATCTTTAACAAGACCAGCTTCCAGCTCTTACAGCACTCACGGAAATGACCAGACACCAAGCCAGCGTCGAACATCTTGGGAAGGGACAAAAACAAACAAACTTTTGTCTGAGTTTAGACACGATAGAGTATAGATTGATACTTTGAGCTTGATATGTTCTTAATCAACATAAAACGTGGTGTTCATAACTGGAAAAATTATAAAATAACAATCGCACAAAACGCGGCTTTTTATTACTTTCTTTCACTTTCTTCAGTTCTGTAATAATAAATAAGTAAAAATAAATGTAACAACATTAGTGTATGCAGACTATGACCAATTGAAATTGATATTCGGATTTTCGATTTTTAGATACCGGTATTGCGGTGATGTTCACACGTCGGTAAAACTTATGTACTTTGACATTTTAGTTTTAGTTGCCCGGTATTGAGTCTATTACGTTATACATGTATACTAGGTCTATGATCATAACTTTTAATCATGATTCTTCTTCGTATCTGCATTCTTGTATCGTCGGAACGAAAGCCTATAAATTGTATATGCGTTGTTGGTTATAATTAATAGAATAGTAATTATAGTCTATAGTCTCTTTAGTCTCAAAGTAAACCAAAGGCTACAATTTTACGTTAAGAACGTAAATTGTCGTCCTAATAACGAGAGGCGTGATAGAACGCTTCAATAGAAATAAACTTTGCTACCTTCGCATTTCGCTAGCTTTAAAACTGTAAAACTTTTGGCTATACCCAAACATCCTAAAATTGTATGGTTTTGGCAAGTTACTACAAATACTTATGTTTATATATTCCTATTTTATTAACTTAATTAATATTTAATCTTTAGAGTTCCGATAGTCTTCATATCAGCTTAGCACTATAGATCCCTACTAACATACCTAGACTTAGAAACCTTCTATACACTTTCGAATGTCTGTACACCGTGTCCGAGTGTTCTTTCTCTCTCTAACCTGTACCGATCTCTCTCTAATCCACCACCTAGTCTAGAACTGTAGATAATATCACCTCCTAATATAGTTATGAAACATTATGGAACTACTTTAGTGCTGCCTACTTATTTATTTTAAAACATAATAATAGTAATCATAGTATATGTTAACTTTTATATAATGCAGTTTTAAAATGGTTACAAGAAATAATTGTGTGTTTCATGGTGGGCGGTATATGAATCCAAATTGTGTTTGTTTAGCTTGATATGATATCAGCTTTTTGTTGTCTATGGAGCTATAGCCAATTTATTTGTAATAAACGATTTGTTTTCAAATCGCTAAGCAACAGTATTAAAAAAAACAAATATTTTCCCGTAAACTGTTGTTTGACGATTTAATGGGCAACAGACCGTAAGATTTTTAACCTTAAAATAAGTTGGGCTCCAAATATACATAAATGCTGTGCCACCAAAGTGGCGCTAAAGATATAATTTTATGATAACAGGTACCCAATACTACTGAGACCTATTAATATTTAAAAACTACAGACAAATATGACCCAGTTGTACCTTCCATACTAGGTATACGTACCTTAATTACTGATCTCCTTAACAGAGGGTGCTGTTCTCAAATTAGGTCAGTACATTAAGAGAAAGTCTATGCCTATATCAAACATCAGTCCCCAAAAAGCCTCAGATATGTACAGTACATTTGATAATGTAGCGTGTTACAGCAACGAGTACGCCTCCGGCGCCGGCCCGTACTCGGCCGACACACACGAGCACAATAATGACGACTCCAACGGGTTCGCCATTGTCATCAATGGACATTCACTTGTGCACTGTTTGCACCCTAAGTTAGAAGAAAAGTAAGTATCTACTCTTGCTCTGGTTATGCCATACTGAGTAATTACAGTTTTAATCATGTGTGTACTTCAGGGAGGAATGTTCCACTAAGATCTAGAATAAACTACATAAATACACCATGTACTGAAAGTGACACAGAAGCTTGCAATCAACGCATAAGGTCGATTATAAAACAACCCCCTTTAGGTCCGAAACTAGTCGGGACTCCCTAATTTAACATGCAAGTAAAACCGTATCTCTAATTAATAGGTTAATGACAGCTTCCGATGTGTGTTACATAAAAGTATTCTATGATCTGGGCAAGAAACTTGAAAAGGTGATTCATGGATGTTAATGTCTTATAATACATCAAATTAAAGAAAAATCTACAGAGATGTAAAAAGTGTCCGTGTGGTGACAAATTAAGAATACGGAGTGTCACCACTCCTATTCATCCCGTGGGTGTCGTAAAAGCCGACTAAGGGAGCAAACTACGCAGGACAATAGCACTGCAAAGAGAAGGAAAACTTGAAACACACCCTGTAACCATACCGTCTGGCGAGCGTGGCTAGGTTAAAACAACCTGTCTAAGGAGAGACCTGTGTCCACCAGTGTACTACTGAAAACTGCTGATGAGATAATAATGAAATGAAAGTACACAAAAAAGGTTAATTAGTAACCATCTATATTAGGGTTGCTTATTAACAGTTTATTTTTTCCAGATTTTTAGATGTAGTTTTACAATGTCGATCAGTGATATGTTGTCGAGTGACACCGTTGCAGAAAGCAATGGTTGTAGAACTCATCAAGAAAAATCGAAAGGCCGTCACATTGGCGATCGGAGACGGCGCCAATGACGTTTCTATGATCAAGGGTAAGAATATATTGAATACTTGTATACTTTCTTAGTAAGTCTATGTATTTAAATCACCATCAAAACACACTAGTTTCAATATAATAAAATAAAAGCAAACTAGTTTTTAGGCATAGTTATCGTGAAAATAATCGTGTGAGCATGAATAAAACTATTATTTTGACATTACAAACAGACACTTCAATTTTATTTATTTGTATAGATATGTAGAAATATATTTTAGTTTAGCTTATCAGCAATCTGGTTATCATAGCACAAGCTCTACCTAGCTTGGCCGACAGACTGCCGAGTGTGAGATGTGTGAAGTTATTATTATTATTGATTTTTAAATAAGATATTCATTTAAGATCGTTCACTTTCGGCGCAATAATTAGTGCTCGCATACAGCGCATATATTAACACTATTATTTTTATTTACATCTTCATTAATGACCTTTAATGATTTTTTGTTTATTTATTCAAAATACTAGATTCACTTTACAATTTTTATGTAGTTAGGTTCATTTAAAATTAGATTAGCTTTTAGAAGGCTTGAAGTATTACAAGCAATGTAAAATATGTAAAACATGAAAGAAGAAAAGAGTCTTGTCATTATGTTGCACATTTTACTGATATTTATTACATTTTACTGAATTGTTTGCATGATAATATTTATTTACTACTATTGGCGTACAAAAGTATATTCCGTCTATAGAGACGGAATATACTTACGGACTTGACGGACTATTATAGAATAGATAGGGAGGCTAAGTAGGAAGAAAAATACCGAATATGTATAATTGTTGTTGTTACAGCGGCCCACATCGGCGTAGGTATATCTGGCCAGGAGGGTATGCAGGCGGTGCTCGCGTCGGACTACTCGATAGCGCAGTTCCGCTTCCTGCAGCGGTTGTTGCTGGTTCACGGACGATGGTCGTACTACCGGATGTGCAAGTTCCTCAGATACTTTTTCTACAAGAACTTTGCATTTACCGTCTGCCATTTCTGGTTCGCGATGTTTTGCGGATTCAGCGCACAGGTAAAACATACTATTGATTATAATTATTCATTATAGACCACCTAATCTAAGATTTACCGTTGACAGTTGTGATTGGGTGAAGTATAGACTCGTTATTAATAAATTCGATTTTTCGTACATTTAACGATTATTCGTATTCAATTGAATTTGAAGAGCCGCAACACTATAGTAAAGGACTTAACTACGTGAGTTTGAAACGAAGTTTGAAAAAAAACATATATTGTCTATAAATTCTTATTATTTTGCTTTGTTTCAATGATTTAAATTTAGTCATTAAAAATTGTACATCTTGCGATAACATAAAAATTGCTTCTTAATTCCATGGTTTTACGGAAAAGGTTATGGAAATTGTGTGATTTACGCTTATACAGTTGTTTCGTCTTGACAGTATAAAAACACGTTACCTCTTAGATTAGATGGACTATAACTTCTTCGACGAAGGTATTTAAAAAACTATTGCGTATTTATAGTTAATGCCATGGGATACTTTTATACTTGCGAAACATAGCCTCCTATGTAAATGTTTACAGAATACAACTAAAAATAAAGATTTATAAATAACAATATGTAAAAGACCAGGGTTCTTAGGTTATCCACACAATGTGTTAAATGTTAATTTTTGCATCATGTATCGATGTCACTCGTGATGGTCCAGAGGTAGCTGGCAAAGGATCATTGACGAGAACTTCACACCTAATACTGTTCTTTGTTTTTCAGACGGTTTTCGACGAGATGTTCATATCAGTATACAACTTATTCTACACGTCCCTGCCGGTGCTGGCGCTGGGAGTGTTCGAGCAGGACGTGTCGGTGGCCACGTCGCTGCAGTTCCCCAAGCTGTACGTGCCGGGCCACACGAGCCAGCTGTTCAACAAGACAGAGTTCATCAAGTCCACTTTGCACGGCTGTTTTACTTCGCTCGTACTTTTTCTAATACCTTATGGTTAGTGCTTTCTGTTCAATTCGTTTAGTTTCAATTTTTTCCAGGTTTTAACAGAGTTGTTCTGTCTAAACTCATCGCACGTTTCAGTAATAGACTGCCTAGTAAATACTATATTTTTTATTTAGTCAAGTCCAGTTTTAGAAAACACTGCTAAAAAGTCTGTCAATACCCAATATATAATTATTAAATATATTATTAACAATTACTTTTAGATATTAGATTACTATTATAGATACCTTACGCACGCATCTAAAAATGGGCTAATAAGATCAACGGGTATACATTATACCAATATGGCTCCAGTACCAGTATGGCTCTGAACTATATAATATACACATATCTCATATTGTATATATTTCAACACACTTACTTATTTACTGTCATATCCATACTAATAAATGTGAACGTGAGTGTATTTCTAACGATTTCACGCCTAAACCACTATAAGGATTTAAAATTTTGTTCACTAGTGGAAAGCTACGTTAAAAGCGAGTAACATAGGTTGCTTTTTATCGCGATAACCGACAGCTGCTGAATATTTTAAGGTAGTAAAGTCGTACATTAACATAGCCATTTTTTTCAGGTACTTACAAAGACGGATTGGGGCCGGATGGCAAAATATTATCAGATCACATGTTGCTAGGAAGTGTTGTAGCCACAATATTAATCATAGATAATACTACTCAGGTACGTTGTTATGACTATTCCGTTTCGCTATAAATATAGCATTCAAATCATCATACATAAACATATCATTCATACAGGTTCATCATTAAATCTGCAATGAGATGCATATAAAACTAGCCTCAAAACGTTCATATCAAAGTATTTTATTATGAGTATTTTGAAATTAAAAATAACAATGTATGCTATTTCCTGAAGAGTGTTAATGATACAGATCTAGATGAAGTGGTCTATAGATTGTAAAAGTTGTTAAAACATGGTGTTTCCGTTCTGATGGTTGTGCTCGCTCCGAATAATTGAAGTAGTGTGTTCAAAATAGTATTAAATTTCAGATAGCCTTGGATACGACGTACTGGACGGTGTTCAACCACATAACAATATGGGGTTCACTCGTCTCGTATTTCGTGTTGGACTATTTCTACAACTACGCGATAGGTGGACCGTACGTGGGTTCGCTCACCGTCGCACTCACACAGGCCACGTTCTGGTTCACCGCCGTACTCACTGTAAGTTATAATCTATACTCTATCGTGCCATTTTACTGCTTTGTCCTTTTTTTCATTCCTTCTCTGAACATAGATCATCAATCTTTTATCGTCCACTAATTTTGTTAAGTTCCATACATTAAATTATTTAATCACTTTATATCTCGTAGGCCGATTCACAGATCCACAGGTGCAGGACCGAAGGTCCTAATGGTCGTCTTTTTGACTCAGTAGCAAACTCGGAATCACATCGTCATGTTTCGTTTACGTGCTGGCACATTTTCTCGCCTATGGATTCGAAGTAAATTAAAAACGACGACGTGCGACGAAAACGGTAACGGATCTGTGCTTGCCGACAGATGATAATCCTGATGGTGCCGGTGGTGTCGTGGCGGCTGGCGTGCTCGTGGACGCGGCCGACGCTGGCGGAGCGGCTGCGCGCGCGGCAGCGCTGGCGGGCGGCGGCGCCGGCGCCCCGCACCCCGTCCGCGCGCCGCGCCAGGCGCTCCGTGCGCTCGGGCTACGCCTTCGCGCACCAGGAGGGCTTCGGCCGCCTCATCACGTCGGGCAAGATCATGCGCCGCATCCCGCACGCCGACGCGGCGCTGTCGGCGCTGGCGTCGCTGCCGGGCAAGTTCCACGCGCGCCCGCCCGAGCCCGAGCCCGAGCCGCGCGCGCCCACGCAGAACCTGGCCACCGTCGACTTATGAGCGGCCGCGGCCTCGCCGGCAGGGAAAACGCAACATGGGTTCTACCGTTATTATTTCGCCGAACGTTATGTTAGTGCCAAAGGAGAATTTCGATCTCGCCCCCGTCGAACTGTGCAGATGTTTATCGCCGGAGTCGGATCGAGAACTCGAGGAAACCCTTGTACCGTTAAATATCCACCGTAATATAATATGTTGAATTCTAACTTATAAAGTTAAACGGCCGTCGGTAACGTAGTCGGTGTCGATTCGCAAAGTCGCATGAATCGACTTAGCGAATCGATTTGTTATAAATCGTCTACTGAATCGAGATTGAGTTCGATTGTTTTTAATGGATAATGAATGTAATGTATGTAAATCGTGGAAGCCACTGTCGAGCATGTAGCGTTTTAACTGCATGTGAATATTATGATCAACATTTGCTTTGGAATCAGTTTTTTAATAAAAAAAATATTCTTATGACATTTAATTCTTTTATTAACCCGTTTCTTGAAATATAATTTTATTTAGGGAAAACCAATTTACATCTTTATTATTAACAGTACTTACTTAGGACTTTCTGTACTTTGGTAAGTATTCTATATAAAACTAGTATTGAAACATAATCAACATAGACGTTCATGGGCGGCGTTGATCACTTTCCATCAGGTGACCCGTCTGCTCGTCTGTCCCCCCCCCCCCCCCCCACATTAAAAAAAATTGTAAGTTTCACGCTCACGAAGAAACATACGTGAACAAAGCTTTATTACCATATGTACATCGATAATGCCAAATTTAAATCAACCAGCGACTAAACATAAAGTTTGTACAATAATTTGCCAATCCATATTTGACTGGCCTGTTGGTCTCGTGGTTAGTGACCCTTAGCTACTCCAGAGGTCGTGGGTTCGATTCCTACCCAGGACAAATGATTGTGTGATGAGCACGGTCATTTGTTCTGTGTCTGGGTGTAATTTATCTATAATATGTATGTATTTTGAAATATATGTATGAGTATGTTAATCAGCAGTCTGGTTACCAGATGTGTGAAAATATTATAATATTATTATAATTAGTTACAAATAGTACACCTCGGGTTCAAAACTTTGTAAACAGGTCTTCATAATTTTGTATGAATCTTATAAAACAACTAGTTTCCAAAGACTATCTAGGTTACATAGTCTTTCAAAATGATGCATTTGTTCCATGACAAACTTAAGCGGTCCATTTTAAGTCTTTGTACTTTCATCAAACTAACAAAACATAATTATAGTTGTTCGTTAAGTTCTTGTCTGTTGTACGTAGTATAAAATGAAGTCACTTTCTTTTCTTGTAGGCTTAGATCTTTCAAACTACGCAATGGATTATAATACGGTTCTCACCAGTAGAGAGTAATTATTTTAGTTGATAAAATTCGGACATTTCAAAGATTCGTAAAAAAGATGTTTTTGTGCGCGTACATTGCAAACCTTGCTGGCTAACCTTATGAGATAGTTAAAAATAATGTGCCATTGTATTACTTAAAAAAAAACTGGTCAGGTACGAAGTCGAACTCGTACTCCGAGGGTTCCGTACCTAGCCAGATTTTACGTAGATTTACCCGAAAATTTGTAAATACTAAAATTTTAGCTAAATTTTCAACTTTTTAAAATTTTTGGAATTATTCTTTTATTTGTGCTGTAAGACGTTTCTTTTTGCCAAATTTCGTGATTCTAGATCAACATGAACTACCATATAGGTTTTCGACCCAAAACCTGGGGTAGGGTACTTCCGGTTCACCTAGAATTGTCAATTTTGGTTAAAAGCAAGTTCTTACAGCACAAGTACGGAGAAAATTCTGAAAAATAAAAAAAGTTGAAAATTAAGGTAAATTTTGGTACTTACAAGTTTTCGCGAAAATCGAAATTTGCCCATATCTTTTTATCGTGTTGACCTTGATTTTTATACACCTAATAGGGACCATAGACCTCAGTATCTAGTATAAATTTCAACTTGCTAGGTCTACCCGTTCCTGAGAAAATTGGTGGTGACACACGGACAGACTGACAGACAGACAGACAGACAGACAAGGAAGTGATCTTATAAGGGTTCCTTTTTTACCTTTTGAGGTATGGAACCCTAAAAATAAAAGTCCACGATAAAAAATAATGGGTAGTTTACGAAGCTATTTTGAACAATACTGTATTGTTCCTTATCCAAATAAATATGTTAGGTAAGTTGTTCATTTAATGTAGATCAAAATTGCTTTTTACAGCGTATCATTAAAATGAATATCTTAGCAGATATCCGTTGGTCGTACGTCCGTTCCCGTCAGCAGCCGACAGGAGCTGAGCGAGCCTTAATATTAATATGATATAATATACCTCCCCTATGTCACACACGGCCATCTGATCCCAAACTACGCAGACTATGGTAACCAGACTGCTGATAAACATACTTATATATTTTTAAATAGATACATATTATAGATAAATTACACCCAGACATAGAAAAAATGACCGTGCTCATCACACTATATTTGTCCAGGGTGGGAATCGGACCCACGACCACTAGACCAACAGGCCCAGGCAGACCAATATTGCATATAAAGATGTCCTGTAGTATAGTCTTATAATAATAATAGTATAATTAATTACTGCACACTGACACTACATTAGTAGTATCTGTATTGCACCCGTGTGAAGCCGGGGCGGATCGCTAGTTTTACTCTAAATCGACGCAGGTCTCATTGTCACCGACGCCGTTGTGCTATCACACCTATTTGTTTCCCGGGTTTTTTAAAGTCACATTTAGCATTTGTTTGCAGTGGATCTACAACAGGATACGTGTCTCGTCAATTCTCTCTCTCAATCTGTCCAAATACCTCATCTCGTTCAGAGAATCGCATGCCAGCTGGCCATTACACTTACACAAAATCTATTTCAGATGTGAGTTTGGCTTGTATCATTGGTTTCAAAGCTAGTTGATATTAGCAGTGTCAGTAGAATTAGTCTCGTAGCCAGCTGCATAAAATGTAAATGCTTGTGATAGATTATTATTATACTCCCTTTCATTTTCAATAGTAAGTCTATAAAAACATTTCTGTCTGACGGTTTCCCGTTTCTTTGCCGATTTCGGATAAAGAGATATCTTGATTTTCTTTCTAAATTATCTCTCTCTCTCTTTATTTGGAAACATCATACATACTCTCTAACTTAATGGTAGGAAGGATTGGTGTAAGTCTATTTCGCAGCGCCCTCCCTCGCCCAGTCCCGTGCTGTAATTGGGATTACTCTAAAAGTGGTGGCAATAGACCGGGGTTGTCCAGTCCATGGCACTAAACGGTGCAATGGTGTTGGTGGTGAGAGCCATACGTGGAACCTTATCGCACCGTGACGGCACAAACAGCGTGCGCATTGGCCGGAACTCCAATGAGCTAGCATAGGGCCGCTCGCCGACGCCCTGAGTGTGGCCGCGGGTGGACGGGACGGATTTTCTCCTACATCCGCTATAGTGGCCAGCCGCGAGGAGGCCACGTCCGCGTGTTGTTGCCGGACCCCTCCTAGCTTAAGCGCGAAGTAGCACACCGCCCCGCCGCAAACCCTGGTGGGGTGACGGCCCAAGGAGGTTTCCACACGTTAAAAAAAAAAAGGGCCGCTTGCCGAGCCACGATGGCTGCCACGATGAACACGGCTGGAGACCTCACGCTTTGACACCGCGGAGGCGCTCCAGTCGGTCATCGTCGAGTGGGCGGGGCGGTAGTTCGGAACCCTATCCTTCCTACTGACGCAGGTCCTTTATGAGCACGTCTGCTTAGGGAAGTATCTGCACTCGATCGCCAGGAGTGAATTAAGTTCCGCTTGTCATTACTGCGACTGTAGTAAGAACTGGACTCAGCACACTCTGTCGGTTTGCTCCGCTTGGGCGCATGCAGCGTCGGGTGCTCATTGCAGTTATCGGAGAGGATCTCTTGATGCCATCCGTCATAAGTTTCATGGCTAGTAGCAACAAATGTTTTGCTGCGATCACATCCTTGTACGAGGACATAATTTCGCGGAAGGCTGAGAGGGCCTAAGGGTAAGATCTCTATCGAACCTAATTCGCCGCCCGTAAAGCGGCGGAGGTACGCCTACCAACGCCTCATGCCTGCTGAATGTGGCCGCCGCTAGACGGGTTTTTACCCTCCACTTGCCACATAGGCCTACCGACGAGGTGACGTCACATGTGGCGGACGTCGCCTAATTGAGAGTTTTTACCTGAATGTGGTGCCCGCGCTTTTGCGGGTTGCTCAGAGGGGTCCGGATGTTTTAATAAAAGCTGTTGAACAAAAAAAAAGAGGCCTGGCTGATGCGAACTTGCCCACGTCTTTGGTAGGTACTATTGAGCAACGCCTTTGAAGATTTAGTGTACTGTCTTAATCTATATAGTCGAGTCGAGAGATGTTGATTATTTTAACCGCTAGTTGTATTCCAGCTTCTTAATGTCTTTTGTTAAACAAGAGAACAGCACTGCAAAGAAAAAAAAACTTGACACAAACAAAAGCACAAGCACAAGCACAAGCAAAAGTTGGCGATTTTTTTTATTTACTTTTAATTTATCTTTGGAAGGATCACCAAGATATAAAGAGGAAAATTGCCGTTGGATGTTGGTACATAGCCTGTATCGAATACTTCATTGTTAATTCTATCATCTTCTATACATGATTAATTTATAAACCTTTATGCAGTTTTGTACAGCGAGTAACGATCATAATCATGTCATTTTCAGCTCAAAAAAGCATCAAAAATATCAGGCTGTAGGGAGAGTAGTACCTTTTTTTTTTTTTTTTTCCCGTGCGGATATCCCCTCGGATACCACCTGTCGGTGGCATGTCGGACACGAACCGACTAAAACCGGGTACTAATAGCCGGGGAACCAGGTATACCCTAGAAAGGTAGTCCCTGGTACCCCGACATACCTCGGGTCATCTACAGACGAGTAGACGACCCCCCCGCGTGTGGGAACCCCATGTTCCCGGTGCTCCCTGGAAGCGAGCGCGCTTCGCAACGCGCTTGCCGCCACCCCGGCCTGCTTCTGCAAGGGTGACAGATGGCCTCACCTGTCACCCCCAGGTCTGCGCTTATGGAGGACGGAGGTCGTTCTGCGACCTCCGGCGCCTGAGTCGCCTGCGGTACCTGGCCCGTTCCCGGGCCTGGCGGGCCGGGAGAGTTCTAAACCTCTCCCGGTCCCGCTCCGCCGTCTCCTTCGCGAGCATAACTTGCTCGCAGAAGGAGACGGCAGAGTTCCACGCACTCTCGCTCCGCACGATAGCCGCAATCAGGCTATCGAGCGAGAGAACTCCCACTCCGATGGCCGCCACGAGGTCTCGCCTCTGCTCAACCCACGCCGGGCACTCTGCCAGCGTGTGGAGAGCCGTGTCCACGGTCTGGCCATCGCAGTGGTGGCACTCAGGCGTTGGCTCCTTGCGGATCAGACACAGGTGATCTCCGAAACATCCCTTCCCAGTGATCACCTGCGTCAATCGGTATGAGAGGGTCCTGTGACGCCTCTCGAGCCAATCCTCCATAACGGGTCTTACCGCCGCGATGACGGCGTGCCCGAGGGAAAGTAGTACCTATATATAAATACACTTCTTATTAATAAATATTTCCCTGTGAGGGTGGCCATATTTTATAATACGTCACTGACTATCAAATATTCGAATCAGACTTGTTTGTTTTTTTATTGACTTATTGACTGACCGACTGACAGATAAGTAGATAATATTTGAGGTTATTTTTTGGTTGTAGCTTTTACTGAGTAACTAATTATGAGTGAATTTTGTCGTGTTGTTCCATGGTATAACAGTGATGAGTGGCAGAAAGTTTACGAGGAACTCTCTGATTCGTCATCAAACAAAGAAAATGCACTTAACATATTACTAGTGTGGAAAGCGAGATGTCCGTCTCTTCCATCTGGCATAGAGTCGACATTGTCCTTATTACAGGTTCACGTTGAGGATATCCAACATAATGAAAACGTGAACAATGATCAGCTCCTTCGTCTAGCTTATTCATCTGCTATAATGCGTTTTGTAAATCATATGCTGGACACTGAGACTATTAAAGGCAGCAGTTTATATCAAGCCGCGAAAAACCTAGGTGTTCCTGACTGGATTGTCGATTTAAGACATGATACCGCTCATAGTAACAATCTTCCATTGATTACATTGCTCAGAGAGGCATGTACAATAAGTTTGCAGTGGCTTCAACACAACTATTGGGATAAATACAAACCAAACATAACAGATTGTGTATCTAGCAAAAAAGAGGTTGCTAGCGAAGATGTTAATAAAATTTCTATGTTGATCAATTTATATGCCTCACTAAGCATATGTGCTCATCCAAACTGCAAAATCAAAAATTTATCAGAAATACCTAATACAGAAATGAGTGAATCAATTGCAAATGATACCGAAGATTTGTTTGGGGACCGTGTTGATTTAACTAATGTAAAGACTATGTCTATCATGTCATTAATTAATATTTTAAATTTAGAAAGTAAAAACCTACTGAAAATCCCAGATGTTTCCACACATGTGAATGAAGCTGTTCTAGGAGAAGATTCTTTATTTATGTCTCGAGAGCTACTCTATTTCTTTAGTGCTAATGATTTTAAACATAAAAATAGATTGAATAATAGTTATATGCAATGTTTTGAGGTTCTACTTAAATTTCTACACAAAAATGATTTACTGCTTAAGTTTATATTGGATCTTGTGAAAATCACACAGAACTGTGAACAACATTTTAAAGCTCGCCTTGCAGCATTATGGCTGTCAGAAATATTACTGGCATTGAAGAGGTGCAACGAGTTCTCTCTAAAAATCAAGAAGTATGTTTCTTTGTTTATACCTCCATATAATAATAAGAATCTAGGGCATGTAAGATCGGCTTTTTAGACCTAAATTCCATTTAAGATTGAATACAATAATCTTTTATTGTATCCAAAGGTAAAAATGTATTAGCCTACATAATTGTAGGATTACTACTAAACATAGCTGGTATAGTCCAATGCAATGGCGGCTCTGACGTTAGCTGTGCATGCAGGTGTTTTGCAGGTCTACTTACAGTCAAGTCGACTTGACTGTAAGTAGACAAGAATATGTGTGCATGTGCAGAGTAGGGATGTAACTTACACACTAAAAGGCACGCTGCTGTCTATTATTGCGTTGTGCGCATCGAAACACATGATGTTCTGAGCCACCATTAAGTTTGCATCGGACTGTACTATGCTGCCCCTGTTGTCATACATACAGTATGTCTTGTTACTGGCCAAATAAAATACAATATTAGGGGCAGTATGAGTTTTAGAATGCATTAATACCTACAAATATTCATGTTATATGGTAAGTAAACTGGCATATAATACCTTTGAGTCTAAATGATCTACTGCTTCTACATAAGTCATCAATAATATCTATGTCATTATAATATTAATAAGCTCATCAAAATTAAATCTTATAGGGCTAAAAAACAACTAGGTACTTGACAAAAAGCAGTCATTACATTTTACAAAATAATAGGCCTTTGTCCAGCAGTGGACAGGCTGTTGATGAATGCCAAGTACCTTAAATTGTTGTTTCTTGTGATTGTATATTTGTGTAACAAACTTTTTAAACAAACACTACACTGAAAGGATTTGGGTAAGCCGTTGTAGAGGTTGAGAAAGTGTAGGCAGTTTATATTTGTCTAATACTATTTTTATTGGCTTTCAGAATGTCAGTTGATGACAAACAGTCTAGGAATAAGAAAGACTTGACCAAATTATATCATCATTGGTTTCCTAGCCCTAAGAAAAATAACCTTATGCTAGATCTTCAGAAAGCAGTACCAAGGGAATTACAAGATATTAACTATATTCAACCAATAATAGCTGCATATAATCCATTTCTTGTTTATTTTATACGAAATCTTTTAAACTTGATAGATCCCTCTATACCAAATTCTGTGGCAGAAAGAGTGTACAAATTAGCAGAAGTGATTTCAACACCAGAAAAGTTCCCATCACCTGCCAATGTCATATACACTGAGGATGATCTCAAGTCAGTTAATGAAGATCTTGTTAATAGTGAAGAAATTACTGAAGATATACAACTTACAGAAAAGTGTGTTCCTAAATCTGTACGAGACAGCCAAGTCATTAATGGCATTTGGAGATTAGCATCAAAAAATCACAACTGGTCTTCATGTCCTATTGGACAACTTCCTTGGCAGCAAAAGCACTATAATCATGAAGCTCTGAATTCCTAAGACAAAAAACATTATGATTTACAATAAATTATGTTTTAAAGAAATAAAACGGTTATCATTATTCTTTTTTTATTTTCATATTTTGTATACAGTATAATGTTTTGGTTACAATTCATTTATATTGACACATTATAGGATCCCTAAAAATAGTTGAACAATATACATGTTTATATGATACAAGATTCATTATTGATTAACATGTAGGACAAAGTTTACAGTCAGACATACAGGTTTATAAAACGACCATGTAAACATTTTAGTATTGGTCCTTAACAGTAAATAGAATTACAGGCTGAATAAAAATGCTGGCTGATATTTAGGAAAAATATCCAACTAATATCTTATGATACTATAAGACTAATATCTCAGAGTCAGTATCATATAACAAAGACTTCAGTAAAATGGACATTAATAACTATAATATGCAACAATTAAATAAAATGTGATGTTGCACATGAGTTTGATATATTATCATTATTAATTTTGTGTAATTATTAACAAATCAACTTCAAACGATCAACTGTAATAAATTTTTAATAGTTCAATGATATCTAATACACCAATAGATAAATTTAAAATGAAAATCTTTTGATAGGCACTTACAAATTAACGGCAGAGACCATAGCAGTTCTTAAGATAAAATAGTACCTTGCTAAACTTGATTATAATAACTAATAAATTATTTACATAATTCCTAATTGGAACTGGCAAATATCTACACACACTTCTAAAGTGTCCATAAATCCTAGTCGAAGCCACATTGCACATTCATTAAGTTTTATTTCGTGTAAATCAACTTATATTTAAAGTATGAGTATGATTGTTGATGGGATGCTCGGGAGAACGATAACGTAATCAACGAGACCTAGCCACATCTATATAACTTTAACATAATGTAAAATATATGTATGTGGTATACAAGAAGAATAGTGAATCAACAGCAAAAGCTAGACTTTCAAGTTAAACAGGCACTGCTGCAAGCAAACTAGTTGAAGGCACAGAAAATACACTAGTTTAGTGTCTCAGTAGACACAACTCACATCAAACAATAACAGGAAACTGAACTTTTTAGGAAAAAACAGTATTTATTGGTTCGGCACTTTGAGGAGCCACAATCTTCCCAACATATTTCATTTCTTTTAAAGTGCACTGTATTTTTAGTATTAACATTAATGTGAGATTCTAAACATTTACACGGTTTCAGGCTTTACAAATGTGTCAAGTAACTTACAGAATAGAAAGTTAGTTTTTAGTTTATTATAAATATTGAGCTATAAAATATATCCACAGACAATAGGTAGAAGAGGCTTACAAACAATTTAAGTTGTCACAGAATAATTCGTTGTTTGTAACTTGCTACAGACTAATTAATAAAAGCAGGTAAAATATTTGTGACTTAACAATAACTTCAATAGCTTATTTTTAAGACAGTCTTTTAGAATATGAAAGCAAATAAAAGATAGAGACAAGGTACATAGTGCTTAGAATATTTTTGGATTACATTTCAATAAAATACTTTTCAACTTACGACTATTGCGTCGCAAGCTGGGAGAAGCTAGCAGTGAAAAGTAAATTCGATTTGCCCGCCAAGTCTTTTTAAAATGCTTGTTAAAAATATAAATATTGTATTAAATACGTTATAATGGTTTTATAATGCTTGCTATGAATTTGTACATAACAATAAGTACTTAACAAAATTCTTCATTGTGGCATCATGATATTAAAAGTTATTGATGTCGTTTATATATTTATATTCACTCACCTACTTTATATTCAAGTGGATTCGCCTTTCAATGAAATAAAAAAATATAATTTGGTATTAAGACAGCGTCTGTAACTATATTATAACTTTAAACCTTGAAAAGAGATGTTTTAAATTGGTAAAAAGCCTTAAAATTTCAATAAATTTTTCTATACTTCAGTTTTGACCCAAGCAATGTTGTTCGATTAATCAACTCGGTGACGCTTTCTAAATTAGTATCGATTTCAAGATTGAAGTTTCAGTTTGCAAACAGATCAACGTACATCTTCACTGGTTTCGATAAGTCATATTAGTTACGAAACATCCAACGATAAAGATATATGGAATATGAGGGCCGCTTAAGCATGCATGTTTTACGTACTAACTAATCTAAAACACAAAAATGCAGCCGCGTTTACCTACATTTCTAGTAAAACACCTCCTTTGGCGGAACGGTATTGCTATAATATATAATCATCTTTAAGATCACCAATAGACAAGATTTACATATTTACAGAGAAAATATATCATAAAATATGTCAGTGCAAAGACGAATGTAAACATTTTTACGTACGAAAAATACTTTTCCATATACATAGGTACATCACGTATTAGGGCCGTCGCCGAGTGTAGTGGTGGCGATCGTTTAGACTCATTGAAATAAGCTCTTCACTACGTCTAAGTACAAGTCTACAAGAATATCTGCTGTTACATCGACTCCGCTAGCGCTCGCCTACTACTACCTGTATATTCGTCTAAAACGGGGATCTAGGAGCGCGCACTGGCCTTCTACCTCGAGAGTATCGTTACTTTGGAGGAGATAGATCACGGTAAGTACACCAATATTCGTTTTTATAAAATCTTAACAGTAAAGCGAAATGCTATCACTTAAAATCATCCCACAAACAATAACTTAAAAGAATATGCAGAGGAACATTTTAGCTAATTTGTTTTCCATTTACGACACAAGGAATGTACGAAATCTCACGAGTCACTTATCGATTAAAGTGATATATTTTTAAAAACAATCACAAATATCATGGCAAATTGGACATTTCTGCATAAGAGTGGATCGAAGCCAAACATACTCCCTAGACCATGATGGGATCGTCGGAGGAGAGCTGGCGGTGCAGCAGGCGCTGTGAGCGCAGAGAGCTGGCCGCGCTCAGGTCGTCCGTGCTGCCCAGCTCGCCGTCGTGGTCCGTCGTCGACAGCAGGTCGTCGTCCGACGTTGCTCTGTGCGAACACTCATTATATTATTCTAAAACGTTTAGCAATTTGGCACAGTTAACTAATGCCATAAATCTACTATTAAATATACATAGTGATAAGGCTAGAAGATAGACTCACTGTAGAGATGTCACCACAGCCCCAAGGGACATACTCTAATGTACTCAGTAAAAATGTAATAGCTGTCCGGCTTAATGACATTTGTATGTATTTATAGAATATTCACAATAAAAGAGAATAAAAACCAACACATTAATTTAAAAACTACAACAGCAGTTAGATGAGACTAGCTGTGATGTGTATTTTTGTTTGAAGAATTTGGTAGAATTCGTCAAAGAGAGAATTAATAACATTTGTTAGTTTTACAAGACAAGACAGATAGGTAACTACAGAGAGCATACTATACTTTGTATCAGATATTGATATGAAATGTTCTCTAAAGCTGTTAGAATCGGCGGTTTAGTTACGTGTGTAACAGTCAAAGCAGAATGGTAGGTAATTTATTTAATGAAAAACTATTGAACACATTATCTTCTAATAATGAATTCATCCGTGAAGTGATGATACAAATCGTAGTGCCGTAGCACGGAATAGGTAAAAGGCTCTTCCAGAATAAAATTTATTAATAATGACTACACAAAAACGTAAGCGAGCGTAAGTTGAAGAATAAGTTATCGATTCACACACCTGTCCCGTTCGTACCTGATTAGCGTGGGCAGCTGATTGGTGAGTATGGCCTTCTCTTTCTGTATCTCGTGTATGTGCTGCGACAGCAGCTGCTCCTCGGGGCGCGGCGCCTGGCTGTGCGAGCGCAGCGTGGACAGGCGCGACGTGGCCGTGTGGCACGCCGAGTCCAGCGTCGCGATGTCTTGCAGCATGCCGCGCACCTGCACACACACAGACGCTTGCTACAGCTGTCGCTCATGTACCACTTTCATTTCTTTGGAATTGTTAACTAAAAATAGTAGCTCTTCGATTTTTTTGGTTCAGATTTAATACAATAAAATTCACGAACGTGACCAATTCAATTTTAATCATTAATTTATCACTACAAAGATTGTTACCTTGAATATATATATTTTACATAACAGCTCTAAAATCCTCCAATGTTCAATTTTCTGATTAAAAGTCAAAACTATAAATTCTAGAGTGAAATATCTAGCATTACTTTTTTGATAGTGGCTTTTAAAAGTCCAGAGAGTAAGTTCAGTAATATAAAGAAAAACCATATTAAATACTACATTAGTCATATTAAATGCTTTCATAAAAGTTAGGTTATAAGTTATTGAAGGATCGAGGGGTAAAAGAGTGGTACTGACGGTGCGCATCTTGTCGACGAGTATGGCCTCGAGGCAGGCGGTCTGGCGCGCGATGTCGTGCAGCGAGTCCTGCGCGGGCTGCACCTTGTGCGTGCGCAGGATGCACGGCGCAAACACTATCGCCAACGCGTTCGGGCCCATCCTGCACCACACCAAAACGGTACTGAGGTTAACAAGTCGTCCACATTCTTGTTATGTAGGTTTCCAATATCTTTTGCCTTTCGTACTGAGTTCATATGCTCAATGAATAAATAATCGGATAAAACCGTGTCTAATAATAATCCACACCTTATTTAAGGTCATTTTTTCAAATTGTTTGGTTAAAAAACTCAAAAATTGGCTTTCAGATCTTTTGTTTGCAGTAGTTGTGCCAAATGGATAAAACGCACGATTAACATGAGTTTAAATCCAGTTACGGTCATATGCTTTTATAAGTATAAACGAGATTACACTATAATCTATTACACTATCTGAGTGTGGCATTGCAGTCTTCACAAATATTTTGCAATCTATAATTAAATCAATTCAATCACTCAAATAAACTTAAATTTGACTACTAACTTGACTACTCAATGAAATTAATAATAATCACCTGTTGTGAGCTTCCCCTAGTGCAACCCTTGCCAAGTGGAATATTAACCTCTCGACGAGATCAAAATTAGGTTTAGGCAATTTTCTTAGTATCGTGAATATTGTTGACACTCGCTCCTGAAATGAAACAGACACAAATACTTCATAGCTTTAATCACTCCCTTAAACTGTTTTGTTTAGGTAAAAATATATAGCGCATGCAAAATTATTGTAATCTGAGCATATTAGAAAATATTTATATTTCTATGTCAACATTCGTCGTATTGTACTGAACCTTTTAAACGTTCATATTGTGATGGTACCTCAAATAACCCTAGCCTGAGTAAAGCAGTTTTTCGTTATTAAACACCTGGCCAGTTCCCCTCCCTGTGGGGGAGGTCTAACGCTCCTCCAACCGCGCCAGGCTGTAAGACTCGACCCTGACTGGACACCTTCCCACTGGCTTTTAACGTTCGAATTGTGGCGACTCCCACATAAATATACTACAGCGCCATCTAATGAAGACACACCGAACTACGGAGTAACTACTAAAATAAGAATTGCTAATCCTGTATCGCGATATAAAGAATTCCCTCGCCGATTAGTATATATACAACTTCCCAACATCAACCGTTGGGCCGCGGCCCGCCAGGCATGCTCACCTCGCCTGGTCGGAGGATCCTCCCTTTGTGTTGGAGGGACATGACACCCGTTCCTCCACAGTGGTGACCCCGACGTGATTGGAAGCAGCCTTCAAAAGGAGCAGATCATCAGCAGCACCATCGTGTACACTCCCACGGCGATGAGCAGTAATCAAGTCTCAGCCAGCCAGAAACCTCGGCCTCTACAGGGATACCACACGCAGGTAGCGACCGCTCCAGCCTGGTTACCTCTACGGCCTCATCAGCGTCTAGGCACAGCACACTGCACCTACGGTCCACGTAAGAAGAGCATTTTCTCTCCCGTCTACGCAGCAGCCAGCCACTACGCAGTAACCGCCCCCGACTCACTGGGGACTTCACCGCAGCACCGCGCACCGCACGCCATCCCGACTCACTGGGATCAGCGGACTTCAGCCCCGACTCACTGGGGCTAGCGGCACTCAGTTCCGACCCACTGGAACTAGCGGCACTCAGTTCCGACCCACTGGAACTAGCGGCACTCAGTTCCGACTCACTGGAACTACTCACTACTGGCACTGGCACGCTCCACAACAGGGCATAGACAGCTGACTCATCATATATCGACCTCCGGTCTTGGAGGGGAGTGATGTGGCGACTCCCACATAAATATACTACAGCGCCATCTAATGAAGACACACCGAACTACGGAGTAACTACTAAAATAAGAATTGCTAATCCTGTATCGCGATATAAAGAATTCCCTCGCCGATTAGTATATATACAACTTCCCAACATCAACCGTTGGGCCGCGGCCCGCCAGGCATGCTCACCTCGCCTGGTCGGAGGATCCTCCCTTTGTGTTGGAGGGACATGACACCCGTTCCTCCACAGAATAAACATCAAAAGACCGCGATAAGAGGAATCAAAGTCTACATGAAATAATTAAATACATTGGTATTGGTTGTGCTTTATCCTATCAGGCTTTCATCCATTGTGCACTTAAGCTTAGAGTGAGTCAATCAACTTCTACAACTGAAAGGCCGCAAGGTCAGGACACGTGAATACTGCTCGTCTGATGGGGCATTAACCCTTATGCTACCGGACACAACGCGTGCGCCGACGGCGGACTCGGACCGCTCGATCTCCATCAATTCATCAACAGCATCAGTGCTTTCCCGCAAACCGACCACCCAGGACAAGCCCATTAAGACACTCTCCACCCAAATACACGGCACTCACTGAACCTACACTAACCTCCCTCCTAAATAAACACAATGACAGGTCACCGAAGGATAACCGTTGTAGCAATGACCGCAGCCTGGTTGATCTGATCAACCAAGGTGGTCGTCTCGCCTCAGTTATAACTCGACTCACCACACTGTAGAGCACTATATATATCACTAATCATTCTATCACAATATGTATGTCGGTTACCGCGGTATATATGTTACTCGCTGATAATGTAACTTTCCAAAAGAGAAAGAAATGTTTAAATCGGTTTAGTGGTTTAGGCGTGAAGCGTAACAAACAAACAAACTCACTTTCACATTTTTAAGTATGGATTGTATAAAATTACACTTATCAAAAAAAAATTGCCTGTGTCTTACTAAATAAAACAATTTGAATACTATTACGTTTTTTTACTGCAAATAATTCAATTGATAATTTGTGTATTCATTTCATTCAATTTAGGTTTACGAACTATGTTAACTTATAAACAATTCTCGAATAGTTCGCGCCATATAACTCTGCGTCGACGAAGTTCGCGCGAAAAGGGGAGCATAATTATATTTTAGGTATCAGAGGGGTAATTTCTGCATATCGGAAAAAGACGGGGGGAGCGGGGGGGGGGGGGGGTTCGCGTCAGGTCAGGTCAAGGTCAGTAGTGCATCTCAGTCTAACACGTTGAGTGAGATATCAGCTTTGCTCTAACGTACTGTTGTGAACATAATTGTTAAAAAAACTGTTAATATTCTTATTTGTTTTTTATCGGTTTTGTTTATGTTTGTAAGTTTATTTCCTGCTTTTAAAACTCCGATTACTTCAGATTATTACAGATATTATTTTAGTAATTTGCCACTTTAATAGACTACATTTTTAACATGATTCTAAAAGTGACTATTCATTGATAACGTATTCTCTAGTAGTCCCGAGTTGTTACCAAAAGTGTGATATGTATTTCACTTTTTTGCTACTTTAGTTTTTTTAAATATTAACGTAATAGTTCGGAAATAGTTACACATGTACATTATATAATTAGTTACAATTCTGAACTAAATAAATTGAATTTTATTATTACTTGTTTTGTAGCCTAATAATTCACGCAACAATATATAAAATGTTTCTAGGCTTAGTAGTAGTGCTCAGTTTGTTTGCGAGTGTACCTGCGCAACATTCAGTTTACAGCCAACTTCATTGACGCAGAATTATAAGGCGCGTGCTATAATAAAGGTGTTTCAGTTGAACACTAATTAAGTAAGCAACCAGGTAAAAATATAATTAAATATATGCTAAGCAATATACGTGATGCACCCTGGTTGCGTCATGCAATAAGAGTCCTAGTGAGGGCACGATAATAAATAAAAGTTGTTATGTTACTAATATAAGCCTTAAGTTAACTGTTTCTAACACATTGCCACCTATTAAAAGATTATTATTGTTGAAGTGAGTTATATAACTTCCCGTGGGAGAGCCAAACGGGCCCGGCTTTATTGGAGTCATGCCACGGCCTCACAGAAAACCGGTGTTAAGCAGTTCTTTTCTTGCTTTTTAGCGAGTGAGTCGAGGGTTTCGCCCTCCCTTCTGCCTGATTATTGGCTTAAAGGACGACAACACAGTCGTGACTCATGTCGCAGGTGTCGATGGGCGGCAGTAATCACTCACCGTCTGCTCGTTCGCCCCCTTATATGAGTAATAAACCTTATAAAGTGCAGGCGTTATGGGAAGCGTACCTGCAGGTCGCTGATCTGCGCGGCCATTATGAAGTCGTCGTACAGATCGAAGGTGAGCAGAGGCTCGGGCAGGTCGCGGAAGAAGCCCTTGAGCACGGAGGCGCGCACGTGCACGGCGTACAGGTCCAGCCGCTCCACGCCCTCCTCCGGCGACTCGTCCAGCAGGCGCCGCAGCTCGCGGACCTGCGCAAAGTGCACCACGCGTTACAGTGACCACGCACTTGTTCAACAACCATAATCTACACAACATTACATTCCATTGAACTTTAATAAAAGACCTAATTCGCGTTGTGGAATAATCGACGTGCGCTGGCGACTCGATATTTTTTTATTGGTAAAAGAACTCTAAATTCTTAATTTTCTTTCTGAATTAAAACTCTATGATTAACGTTCGGTTTCTGCAAAGATAATCGAGATAAAATTTACTGATTGAATACAAAGTCCCTTGTATAATAGTTGAAGCATGATTTATCACATGATCTTGATTGATCAAATCGAGATCCTGAATCGAATCAGTGAATAAAACTGTTAAATCTTACAAGATCGTCATGTCGGTTTAGTTGTAACCGACTTAAAATTGCATTAGCTAAACAATATTTAAATTCTTCCAGTAACCATTCAGTTAATAAAGTAGTCACTAATAATCAGACTTTACTTACCTTAGAACTAAGACCACTTTTTCTGTACAATCCTTCTGTATACAGGCCTGTCATTTCTATAGTAGTTATGAGTCTGTCTACTACAATAGGTATATTGCTGTCGCCAGTGGGTAGCTCAGTCAGTGGCATTCCGAATACCTACAATGAAGATTTCCATGTTATCGTCCAAATTCTCTCAGCAATGACAACAATTTATATATTATTGAGAAGACACTATCTTATTTTTAAACATAAATTAACACACAGTCGATATTTTCTGCTGACGGATGCAATTCATATTTACTCTTACCTTGCCCCGCGTGACGACACCCATTTGCTCTCGCCCGCCCGCATCTACGGCGCCGACGATAGCGGCTGATGGAGTCACATTCTCTTTACGACATATTGTCGATACCTGTCAAAGCATTAGGTATATACGTAAATAACTATGAGAAGACCATGTGCACGGCTGGCGAGCGTAGTTTATGTAAAGCTAGCTTTTGCTTTTTTAATTTATTTAATTTGCGATTAAATAAATTTAATCGCAAATTACCTGTCATTGATTGTATTCTTCGCAAAATTGTAAGATATTTCAAATTTTTCAAATATTATATACATACATGCATGTTTTATAGAAATCATTAATAATGAAGTTAATTCTTTCTAATAAAGTATATCAAAAACCTTCGTATGATGCAAGCTAAAATGCAGAGTAAGCTTAGTCAGATAGAGAGACCTGTTTGGTCGTAAGTAATCTAATACAAAAAGATATTGACCTTGGTATAACACTTCTTATGCGAGGCAAGCCTACAGATTTGACAAATAAGCGATCGTTCAATTGGCCACATGAAGAAAGTCTTGCAAATCTCGCACTCTGTGGGTATGTTGATCATTGATAAAATGAACGTGTGGCCTTTGTACTGGATAGGATCGTCAACCTGAAATTATGTTAAACGTGAAATATAAGTTGCATCACACAAGTCACAAACGTTACATAAAAAACAACATCTCTTTATGTGTTATTTTACGTAAAATCCTGTTTTTACCTTTTAATTTTCAAGAACGTAGGTTTTAGGACGTACCTTTCGTTTCTTATCCTTTTTTCTTTTCGTTCTCGCCTTATCGGTGTCGTGTTGGCTCATGAACTCATCCATGAACCCCCGAAAGGCGTTCACACCCATAGTGATAGACAAGGTGGACCCTTCACGCGCACACACCGTTTCCATGACGTGTAGAAAGTTTCCTATTAGATCTTTGTACTTTAATGCTGACCCTCTTGTCTCCACGATGCTGTACGTCGCTACTAAATTGTCTTTGAATTCTAATAGAGCATGTTTGAATACCCTGTCAACCTGTAAAGTAAAGAGCTGTATGAAATCCTTCACATTCAAGGTTTAAGGTTTAAACTTAGAGTATTGAAAACAAAGACGCACATTCGTCCTTCAGTTCTTCGTGATCTTTCTAATAAATTGTAATATATAAAACTAAATAATTGTAATACAATGTATCAAACAAGTACAGTATTTAAGCTAAAAATAATTTTTGATTATTTTGAAATTGGCTAAAACTACCTCTTCCATAAAATCAATTGTTATTTTTAATCGGCTCAGCAATATTTTTGCCCTCACTAATTTTCTGATAATGGGTCATGAGTATTTGCTCACCTCGGATTGTTTTTTATTTTCATTAGATTCCATTTTATAAATCTTCTCAGTGATAAAGTTTTGCATCGCCTGTAACTCATTAGCATCGGATATTATTTTATCAGTTCTATCTATAAATTCCGAAGTTCCTGTTAAGTTGAAGTTCGAACTGACAGAGGATTTGACGTTCTCTAATAGATTGTTATTGGAGTTAGAAATATTTCTTTTCCTGGTAGCTTTATAACGACCTCTAGTGGCGGCCGTGACCGGGCTCGTACAAGGCATCTTGATCACACCTTTGTTTTGTATACATTTAGTGTGGTAAAGCTGTTTGCAGTCTATACACCGTTGGCCCTGAGTGACGAACGCGTCGATAGCCTGATGGCAGTAAACGCACTTATCTCCCTTGGAGAATCTGGTGCCTTTACGAAACCTATAAAAAAAATCTATAAGTTTCGATGCGATAGTGTAAAAAGAAAAAAGAGAGATTGTGGTATTGCGGTACCTGTGTCCCGCGATGCGAAAGAGTCCATTGCCAGTCTGTCCGATGAAGTCCGTGGAGCGCGGGTCGAGCGGGCGCACGTCGCCCGGCGCGGGGTCCGAGTTGCGGCGCCGCAGAGCCAACGCGCTCAGCTGCTCCCCTCCCACTCTGCACCAACGAGTAAACAGAGGCGTAATATCTAATCATATCTCATGTGCAGGATGGTATGTTTTGGTAGGTTCAAATGTGTCCTCTTATCGATTTGATACCTGGAGATTTTTTAATAATAAATAAACACACCTCTGTATGTTTTTTTTATATGTCATAACTATGAGGTCTTTCAGTGCATATTACTACTCTCGTAGATGAATTAAAATCTAAATTATTTATTTATTTAGTGTTTCTTACTATCTTCTGTCTTACTAGCTTATAAACTTTATTATGTTAAGATTTTTTATCCAAATTTTGCACTTTAAATAACATCACTAAAATCCACGCCGATCTGGCCATGTTCTTATTGTATACTGATCTCTCTCGTAAAGTATGTTTATCGGCAGTCTGGTTACCATAGTACAGGCTCTGCCTAGTTTGGGATGAGACAGCCGTGTGTGAGATGTGTCATTTTTTACAATTTTCAAATATTGACAATTTTTATACATGTACAAACCTTATCCTGATAATCACAAACACAAAAAAGAGTCTTATACAAATGGTTCTGTAGTAATTTATATAGATAAAAATGCGAAACGTAGATAAACGTACCTCTTAATATCATGGTCGTGCAGTGAGAGCGAGGCGTCGACGATAATATCGGGCGGTGGGCCACGAGACGAGCGTCGAGGGGAACGGCGGGCCGTCCGCACAGGTGGCGCTGGTGCGCTCGTCTCTGCTACCACTACCACGCCTGGCTCTGGGACTCGACCTGACAAACAACATCCTATTAATGCTACATACAATACTCGTTCTGCGTGTGTAAGGTACACGTCACTTCTGTGTATATACTGTAAGTGAATGAGCAGGCTACATATGTCTACAAATTCAGACATAACATAAACTACAATGTAAGCAGTATGATGTAGGAATACACTACCAGTTAAGTAAAAACGTAAAATCTTATTAAAGCTCAAGTCTCCGTTTAAATTTCTAAAAGAAAGGTCATAATTTGTGTCTCTATAAATATTGTAATAGGACAGTATTTAACGCCTCTGTTTACTCGTTCAGGGATATAGGTGTTAGTGTAGTAATTAAAATGTCCGTTTTTCTTACGGTATAGGGGGGCAAACAAAGAGACAGGTCACCTGAAATTAAGTGACTACCGCCGCTAATTCAAATCACAAGTGTGTTGCCGGCCATTGGGTATTAGCAATTGAGAGTCTAAATATAAGCTAAAAATAATAGTGTACAATTGTTGGTTCCCAGGGAAGCCTTCAATTATATTTCTAAATAATTCAATTCGACATATTTTCTTAAAGCATTTTCAATTAAATATACTTACGGTAATCATAAAATATAATTTTTAAAACATTTAAAACATAACCGATTACTATTACCATTTCAGACAATCTCACTTTATATATCAAACACCAAATGAAAAAATACACTGCAATAGAAGATCTCAAGGCAACCATCATTTTCACAAGCAAACTTTTGAAAGACTCCTCGTATCGACGAAAGTATACTAAATGTCAATACTCTCTTCTCAACTGTTTTGTACACAACATTATAAATAATAGGGTAACAGTTCATTAAGAGGTTTAAATCCTGAGATAAAATTTGATAATATTTAGCATATTACACTAATCACCTTCAGTTCTTCTAACACAATTAATGCATTAATTACTTGTTTACAAGACAGACGATTGGTAGGCAAAATGCACCCTAGATTGACCCTATCGTTAGTGACTTAATGTACAAAATACAAAAGAAACAGTTTAAATTTAAGCACAAGTTGATTTACCTTTTGTCTGAAGTTTTGTAAAGAGTAACACATTAGAGTTTAGATGACGTTTTTTATCGTTAGAGCAAATTATTACTTAATTGAATTATAATAACATGCATGATATATACTGCATACTTTTAAAAGATTCATTTTAGTAAGTAGAGAGAATATTTGATATGTTTAGAAAAATATTGTTGCATTGTTTATTGTAAACTAATCATCATTGTAAAGGCTGTTATCCTCTGCAATTTATTCATACTTTTTATAAAATGTTATCTTAAAATTGTTTTAAGTTTTATAAATTTTGTATAATTTTTTTGCGTGCTGAACTAAATTATACGTTAAATATCCCACAATTTCAATGTATTTATTTACACATTAATTTTTGTAAAAACCTAAAACTGGCTTTACTAAAACTTGCATTTTTGGATATTTTCAATATATCTTAATTATCGAGAAATTTAGTGTACATCAACTCGGGTGGCACAACGGTAAAGTCGTTTGTCTACGACGTTACGGGTTCGATTCTTACGCGAGTACCGAGAACGATTCCTAGCACTATGGGTGTTCTAAAAGACCGATAGGGTTTGATGGAGGGCGAGTACTCACCGGCGTCGGGTGCGGCGGGCGCGGCGCTGGGCTGCGGGGCGGCGGGCGGCGCGGGGGGCGCGGGGGCCCGCGGGTCGCGCCGCACGGGCGGCAGCGACTGCAGCGCGCGGGACTCCAGGGTCGCGCTCGACACGCTGCGCTGGTACATCGCGCCCGACGACCGCCTGCCCCGTCATACAGTATTAACTTTTGTTAACCTTTTATGTGTTCGGTTCAAAGTTTTTTTTCAGGCAAAGACGGATGATATTATTGTGATACTCGTGGGTATATGAAAAAATACCCCGTATTCTGTTCTCTGATCTATTAAACTGTTATTATTAAACATCCTCGTTCGATTAGTCGAATCCTGTGTCGAAAAAGATCTAGCCGGGGAAGTATGAAGAGTGTTAATCGAGATGAGTCAAAGTCAATAAAATTTATTAAACGATGATTACCTTGCACTGGTTTTGTTATTCTCAGTGGTTTCTGGAGAACTCCATTGTCTCAGGTATTCTTCACTACAGCTCGTTATAGACTCTAACAAATCGGTTAATTCTTTTTCTCGTTTCTGGAAAAGTATATGTAATATATACTAAATAATGAATACTAAATTGCACATTCTTATAATATATGTATCATGTCTCTAAATAACAATTTATAGGACATGTTGGAGGCTGCTTTTTAATTTTTTACAAATGGGTCACGATTTGGCATTTTGAGCTCTTCCACAACTCTGTAGTACCATTTCGCACCTCAGATAACCCTTTATCGTCATGATGAAGGGTTATAACCTTTACGGCATAAAAATGCTTGGCATGCCTTTTTTAACTAAAAAGGAGAATTTAAAAAAGGGTCTCTTAAAAACCGATGTCAATAATTCTTTCTGATATTGATAATGTTCAACACTAAGTTGGTCCCATTTAAACTTAAAAAAATATAAAAACAAATCTACCTCTAAGTTAAAGGATAAAAAAATGCAGGTTACTGAAATTAAAAATGATTTAAACACATTAAAATCAGTGATCCTTTTTTAAAACTTCCTGCTAGTTATTACTATAGTGGGTGCTGTATGACTAAAAAAGTCGATTTGCCTGTATTTTTTGTTTTCTTAAGATATTATGGAGTAAATAAAGCATGTAAAAAAAATACCTTATTCATAGCTTCTTTTTCAGTCATAAGATAGTTCTGGTCTAATCGGAGCCATAGCATTTCGTTAGCGAGGTCTTCGGGAGTGATTTTATTAGGTAATGTCACCGCCGCTTGTGGATATTTGTTAGTATTTACATTCCAGTTGTCTTCCGGCGAAGACTCGTTTGTTTCTTTGTGGGTAATGCTGAAAATTAATATTTTTCAAAACACCAAAGGTAAAATACAATATGGACATCAGCGTCCAGGTTTTTGTCAACCTAAGGCGTAGAAAAGCCGCACTTCATTAACTTATATTATTAATTTTTTTTTAATAATTATAGAAAAAGGAAACTTTGGTAGGTTTGTGTTTACCGACTGAGTAACAGTGTGTAATAATAGAGCTTAGAGGGCAGCAAAGTGACACAACTTTTGGTAGAAAGTAGGTATAAAACTTTTATATGGTGTAGGGGTAAATGAGTAAATGGTATAATCGTCGGCAAGCAACTTGAACATTGGGGAAAGTTTGCGCATGTACACTTGCGAGCAAAAAAATAGTACCCAAATATATTTATTAATGTAATTGTTTAACTCTCTTTTTTGTATGTATTATATTTCTTTGACTGTGTAAAAAAACAAAGGTATTTAATTACTTTATTTAATATCTAATAAAAAATATTAAACAACTACTAAATTACACTCCAAAGACATTTCTTGTTAAAAATGACGATAAATGTCGATCACGATAGATCTTCCGAGATCTTTTGTTACCCGGTGTCGGGAACACGATAAGTCGGAGTTTTTAGCTTCGTTAATAATTCGCCTTACAGTACTGATGATGTTTTTGTTGCCATCGCAGTCTGTTTCATAGTTTCAACATCATTCTTCCCATCTTTTTTTTAGAAAACAATACACATCGTACAACATTTTTCTGGCTTGTCTCTTCAAAACTACGTTAGTTTGTCGTTTCATACAGTATATATTTTATAAACAACTAAACTAAATGGTTCAAGTGTAAGGAAAATGTAATATTTATGCTATGTTGTTGAATATGAACTTCTTACCTCGTACTCGATTTTTTTTACGGACGTCTCCGTTTTTGAAACCCTTTTCTTCACTTTCTGACTAACCGTAGCATTTGTTATCTCTAAAGCATCTATGATCAAGCTGTCGCGTTTCTTTCCTCCTCTATAACAAAAAAGATTTATTAAATAAATATATTATGACAATGATAGATGTTTGTTAGCACATGTATAGGAAAGGGGTTCACTGTACCTTGGTATTGGTAATGACTGGGTCGCTCTTAGTTGTCTTGAGTTTTCTTGGTGCAATCGTAGAATACATCTAAAATGTTGTTATTTTTTAGTTATACATACAAGCCATCAGTACCAACTTGAGCCTTACATCGCTTGGAGGTAGCCATTACACTCAATCACACAAAAAATTGCCAAATAAATTATTAGTTACATTGCAATCGATCATACAAAACCTTAATACATTATGTAAAAATTATCATTCCGCAATTATTTGAAGCTGAAAAGTGACTCATAGTAGATATGAATATCACTGTACAGAGTGAATTTCAATTTGTGTAATATGTTAACCTTAATAACTCATGTGAAGCATGCTAGAGCATATAAAATCAATAAATTTCTAGTTAAGTAGGTGAGTTGTTCGTCATACATTGATACAGTTTAATGAGTAATGAAGCTTATGTCGAAGCTTCATATAAATAGCATAGCGTATCTAGCGAGATCCACATTTGGCTCCTTAACCGCTATCTTCTCTAGAGTACAGAATTAGGATGCTCGGTTATAAGAAGATTCAGCTGTACTTTTTTCTTTTACATAGTATAATGAAAAGATTCTTATATGCTTTCTATTACTATTAAATTTATTAGATAGCATAGTAGATATATTTGTCAAAACTGTTACAAGCCAGAATAAGGCCATAAACGTATTGTAGGTGTGATACTCACAGAGGCCTCATTGATATAATTGCTATTTTGTTCGGTGGGTTTCCCGGGGGGCAGCCACTGCGACAGATCGTTCTCGGCGGGCGGCCCGCCGTCATGCTGTCAACACAACACAGACCACAACATGTATGCCAGTGTGCATCATAACACTTTTGTACATCGCATATTAGTGACAACAATCTCACTCGGATACTGTTAAACTGTTATTACACATCAAACGGAACGGTGCAATCATTACATTAATTTAATACTATTTATAACATTCCTTAATGAAAACGAATTCTTTTGTTATTTAGTGAAGTATATTAAAAAAACTGTATCAATAGTATAAATGTATTAAAATACAGTTTGCCAAACGTTGTGTGCGATGTAATATTTCCTAAGAAAATAATAAAATTGAAAAGTACAATGTGGTGCGTGACCGCTGTGCATATTTTTTTTTCCATTGATATAAATTAGATGTAGGTAGATATTTACAGTATTAGATAAAGTACGTAACAGACATGGGTCAAAATCACAGTGAACTGTAATTTATCATTCGATTTTTGCACGCAGGTTAGGGTTGCTAAGTGGGTAGGTTAGACGCTATTTAACAGTAAACCTAGGAGTTTTTAAATTATTATGTACGGAACGGTAGCTATATAGAATAAAATAATTACTAGATTTACTGTTAAATATGTGAAATAGGGTCTTTATGCATCGTCTGAAAACAGTTTATCGGCAACGTGAGTAAGTAGTGACCGTAACCTGCGTACGAAAAAACGAACGATAAATAACCATCGAACGACAGTTGAGTGTGTTTTTGTCCATGTATAGAGAGACTCGGCCGGCTCACCTCGCAGCGCGGCGCTCGCAGGCGCGCGGTGAGGCGGCGGCGCAGCAGGTGGCCGCGCGCGGCGGCCTGGAAGCGCACGGCGGCGCGGCGCAGGCGCACGTACCAGCGCCGCGTGCGCGCGCCGCGGTACCACGCCTGCACGCGCACTGCCGCCTCGTGCCGCACCGACAGCCATTGTCTGCGCAACCACGCTACGTGTATACTCACACTTTACACTCGCGCTTTTCCTATCGTGTTCGATATCGACGACACTCGAGAACGAACTTATCGAGGTATCGGTAAACGTTTTCGCCCTTAAGAATAGAACTGACTACGAACACACGAATTTCGGCCACGGTGGGAGTAGTAGAAAGAAAATCCGAATAAATAACGTTTTATACTTTTATAGTAATATTATAATCCTTTTCTAGAACACTAGAAATTATCATCAACGTAATATCATATTACTTTATAAAAAATCTCGTCTCTTAAAACTCCAATTTTCTACTTTTGAAAACTACTTGGAAGTAATTAGCGGTCGCTATTTAATACCTGCAGAAGTACTGTAATACGACAGAGGCCCTCCGCAGAGCTAGGAAACGCCGCCGCTCCAACACAGCGCGGAACCACCGCTGGATGGTGATGATGGACGCCATTATTTGTTGATGTAGCCTATACTCAAGTTTCGTCTGCTCGCTTTCGCGCATGAATATTTTCGTAGCACCTAGAAATAATATATACATTCAATAACCACTTGTAGTTTATCTCACATACATAACTAATAAAATAACAATTTATTTAGGCTTGTATGTGAAGTCAGAACCAATCATAATTTATAGACAAAAAAAGCGATTTTCCTCTAAAACAGTAGTGGCAAAAGTAGTCACACTTAAAAATGAAAACTACAGTTTCTGCCACCATTTTTTTGGAATCATCTATATCTTCAGTATATATGTCCAAGTACATTCGTATTTCAGATTTAACCGTAGCTAAGTTCTCAGGCAAAAATATTTATATCAATGTCCGCCAATGCACCAAATGTGCATGATGTGTTAATAAATAAATAAATAAATTTGCAGTTTAAACCTCTTTAGTACAAGCATTTAGCAGAAAATACTTATTCTGTTGTGGTACTTACCAAGTTGATAATTATCTCTATCCAAGTTAAGTGTAGCAAGAAAGTGCCGAACGTCGGCCTGCGAGCTAAGCAATCCTTTAGGCAGAAGAATCCTGTACAACTGTATGAACTCCTCATACGTGAGTCGCACGTTATAGCCTGCCTGACGTATGCGCACCGTTTCTAGCATGCCAGTATAACGCAACTGTCTCTGGACGGTTTCATCGTCAAATACATGCGGTACTTTTTCACCGTTTGATTTTATACACCTGGAAAAATAAATTAAATGTATGTCAAAAACCTTAAATATATGAGCAAAATCGATTGCGCAGCTTTAAATATTGGCACATAGGAGCGTTACCTAATGAAGAACGGATTGGCTTGGTTCAATGTATCCATGAGCGCAGAGAGTGAGTGCTGGAACTGAGCCGCGACAGTCTGCGGTTGTTTCCGTTTCCCGGCAGGCGCGGCCGTTCGACCTGCTAATGTTTTAACGCTCTGAAGGTTCTTTAGACCCTTTTTCGCACGCTCACGAGGCCTAAACGACTTGTTTTTCCTGTTGAGTCAAATCATGCAAGTTAAAGAAATGATATGAAAACGAAACAAGTGATCGCAGTGTAGGGTTTGTAAAACTATCAACAGAAATGTGTGACCTTCTTCTACATTGGCTCTACACCGAGTCTGTCTCAAAATAATGTGCAATTTATGTACATACATGCTAATAAATATGTTGGACCAAAATTTCAGGAGCAATCTATGACAAGCTGACAAAATACAGAGCGATTGCGATTCGAAAGCCAATAATGAAATTATTTCTATGATAAAAAAAAATGTGGTAATGATACAATTTAATCTTAAAATAATTAATATAGTAATAAATCTGCATCTCTTTAACTACTCTTAACCCATATACTGTAGCCACCGATAACAATTACAGCGTCTAAAACTTTATAAAATCTCCACTTTAAAAAAATGCAATAGATGATGGATTCTGAAATTATACTCCGACAAAAATTTCACTGCCAAATGAGTCGCCGACAGAATGTTTCGTCTATGAGTTGGTCAACGACACAACCTTTCAAATACGAACGATTCGCCGTCAGAATGTTTCGTTTATGTGTTGTTCAACGGTAGAACTTTGAAGTAGAAATGTCTTGCTCTCACTTGCACCTACCGTATCATTTTTTACATTACCCGATAGTCGACTGGCAGAGGATGCCCTGGGCATTAAGTCCGCCTGTGTACAATTTACGCATTAAGTTATTATAAAAAATATTTTTTTTGTATTATTTAAATGAGAAATGTGCGCCTAGACATTTAAGAAGGGTTTTATGTCCACATCATCATTTTCTGACTTCGTATACAAATGAATTTGAAGAGTCACAACACTACGGTAAATTTTCACTATATTTTTGCTTAAAAACATTAAAAAGTTATATTTTATTATTTAAAAACACTAAACACAACTTTTACTTTAAATCAGGAACTAGTAACAGAAAACACAACAACAACATTTAAATGGTTAGCACATGGAAGGAACACGTGAACCGTACAGTCCCGACAAGGGAAGTGTGATAATAAATTTAAGAATTGTTTTTGTTAACATAGTTAATTTGTTGTTTTTGTTTCAGTAAAAAACACGTTCTGTAGGTAATTGTTAACAATAAGTTATTTTCATTTGCAAATATTTTTCATTGAACCTTTCAAAACGTATAATCTTTAGATTTGGTCACTAGTAGTGAAAAACGATGCCTAAATAAGCGTCATCCACGAATCCTTTTTTGGTGTAAGATTCTGTCGTCGATTCACTCATTAATTAATCGTTCTGTCGGCGTAACGTTCGTAGCGGAAAGGTTCTGTCGTTGATAGGGTCTTATAAAACGTTTTGTTGGCAAATGTTCGTATTTAAAAGGTTCTACTGTTGAACAACTCATGAAAGAAACATTCTGTGCGCGACTCATTCGGCAGCGAAATGTTTGTCGGAGTTTAATTTCAGAATCAGATGATGTAATTGTGAGCGTGTAGCCGAAGAAATCAGCATCGCATACTATACTATAAATATTATACAAAAATGCTAAACAAAAAGAAAACAGGAGTAAGGCGACAATAATGAACGAAAATTAACACCCATAGCCATCACCGTGAAACAGAGAAAAGTAAAAGATACCCCAACCGAAACACGCATACGCATCAAACAAAATCTTGAACGAATGAGAACAAATATAACTATAACGTAAACAAAACAAAGAAAATAACAAGGGTATTGAAATTCGGAAAGTCGATGTCATTTTGCACTCATCGGTAGGTTTGTTTGATGTGGGCGGAGGAAGGCGAGAGAGACAGAGCACGTGGGCTCGGCGACGTACATGACGATCTGGCTGGCGCGCTGCATGACGTCGGTGTCGTCGAAGGGGCGCTCGTCGCGCTCGCGCTCGAGCCTGCGCGTGCGCGTCTCGGCGAGCCTGTAATGTTTGGTGCCTTTCCCACCGAGCCGCGCGCCGCTCCCCTCGGCCCGCGGTTTACTATCGTTGTTCGTGCGCGCCGGCGATTCGCGGACCTTAGTCGCAGCTCTGTGTGGCGTTCTTGGGTTTGACGTCGGGTGAGAAAGGTTTGGACGGTTACAAAATTAATGATACAAAAATAAGTAAACCAAATTAAATGTTCGGTGAGTTGCATGCAAACCGGTCGTGTGGTCGCGAGTGAGTATAAGTAAACCTATTAGAGAACTACGAAATGAGAACTAGTCGCTTTTGGTCTAATAGCGAGTTGACAGGTAGACACGAAATATACACAAGAGGTGTGGTCAGATTTCGCTTAGTTCCGCGAATCTAGCCGCATCGCTTGCGTATAAACGCAAAAAAAAGGTGTTACATAGTCGACTAAAAACATGGACGTCCATGCGTTAGGTGCACATAGAACAAAGATTACATTAAGCATGCCGTAAATTCGGTGACTTACGCAATGCGGTTGATTGCAAGATTGATTGACGATACTGTCACCAGTTGGCTGAGCAACAAGACACAATTCATTACGTCACATAACGTTGCTTGCAAAAGCAATATTCTATATCGGTAAATATTATACTTTATGCATTATAATTATGTATATTTTATAAGGGTCGTGCTTCAAACCGCAAGTGCTTTATTTACATTCCAATAATTGTGCATTAACATTAAACAGTTGATGAGGCTGTCTCGGAAAGTAGAATTTTTGGGAGACACGTGATTGAGAGTGATAAAGAAAATTAAGCATTTGCAGTGAAAGCACAACCTGCTTAAAAAAATATTTGTCGTAAACTGCATATTTTTTCATATTATCTTCATGCTTTCTAGTTAATGTGGTATCGCAACATCTGCAGTTAGTGGGTATATTTATTTCATCAAATATTTTATCAAAAATTAAGATGAAATCGATCTCAAAAAGTGTCATTTACGCGGGAGAAAAAGTTTTACGACTAGCAATTGACTTCATTGGAGTACTACAAATTTTACTAAATACGTTATTTCTTTGTTTAATAATTCAGTATCTTAATTTTGGATATATATCAATGAGCTCATCAACAAAGCTTTATTGTATTGTGATGCAAATATATATTGACATTGCAGTGTATTAGACAAATGTTGTATTCACCTGATAAGACTATCATTGGGCGCGTGTATGGAGGCTCGCGGTACTCGGGACGCGCCGTCCACGCGCTGAGAGCGATGGCGCCTGCCTGCCTCCAAAAAGGCAAAGTAACCCCTGGAACGTTCGTGAAACAATTTGACTATGGAAACTAAGCGACAGTCATGGATTCGGTTCCCACCCAGGGCAAATATTTGTGTCATGAGCACGATCATTTCTTCTGTGTATGGGTGCAATTTATCTATAATATGTACATGTGTTTCTTCAAATATTTACGTATAAATATATAAGTACGCGTATCAGGAGTCTGGTTACCATAGTACAGGCTCTGTCTAGTTTAGGATCACACTATGGTGTGTGAGATGTGTGAAGTTATTATTATTATCATATATGCACTAAAAAGTGTTACTTTGACTATTTGATATCGCATGACAACTAAACTTATCCAAACCTTTCAATATTTGTAACTAGTAACATAATAGTTTGTGATAATTATACTTTTATTCAAACTCTGACCTCACGAATCGTCTAGAGTCAGTTTCAAATCTGTGTTCTCAAGTTTATCACATCACATCAACAGCCATTAATAGTCGACTGCTGGACAAAGGCCCTTAGAAAGAAGGTTTTGGCCTACTATACCACGCTGGCCAGACGGGTTGGTTTAGGGTTTGTGTCAAGTTTCACTTCTCTTACTAGTGTTGTTCTCCTGCGTGGTTTGCTCCCTTAGTCGGCTCTTACGACACCCACGGGATGAATAGGGGTAGTGACACTCTGTATTCTTAATCCGTCACCACACGGATACTTTCGGTACTCGATACTCAAGTTAATGAATAATATAAATAAATTTAAAAAAAAATCAAATGCATTAAATTAGATATGGAGAACTAGTACCTGAAGAAAGCCCGCACTATGGCCCATCGAAAAACGGCTACAGGATCAACACCAACCAGCTCTCTCACGAAGGCAAGAGATGAGTTTTTGAGTACGCTCACTATATCTTGTCGCATTAAGTCCAGATTTTTTTCACGCATTGCTGTTACCTAATAAAAACAAGTCTCAGTTACTATTTATATCAAGTTGGTAAGTAAGCACACGAGGTCAGAGTTAATGTTGCAATAATCTTGATAACATATAATTCAATGAAAATAATATTAGAACCATATATAAACTTCCACGGACAGACTCAACCGTAGTGCAGAACGATGAACAAGGTTTTTAAAGAACGGTATATAAATTTATTTGAGTGTGCATACGCGCGTATACTAATTTGACTGTTACGATTTCATGTCTTCTCCTTAATCTATGTACCTATAGATGTAGCATACATGTGAATAACACTTACCTGATACTTGACCCGTCCAGCATAATGTCGCACTACAAATGCGGGCTCCCGTCTTTGCGGCTTTTCATAAAACTGATTGTTTTCATGTACTGAGTTGAATTTCTGTAGTAGTGTTTCATTGGTGGCCCAAGGGAAACTGAAAACCAGATATATTTTGTAAGGGATGTGTGCAAAGGTTTCAGTCTGTATTGGTGCCCATATGTCTGATATATATGTAATAAACAGGACAAATATTTTAGTTTAGTTCAGGTACGGACTTTTTAAAGCATTCCCTCCCTGTTATGCATGTTTAAAGTATTAAAATGTGGCCATTTAACAAGTTTAAATGAAGCTGTAGAGGCACCAACAACTAAAGATAAATTTATAAAGTACTTACTTGCACTGATCATCAAGTAAACAGAGCAATCCATTGACTTTTCCTTCAATAAGTTGCAAACAGCCCGTATTGTCCGAAAAGCCTATGTCAGTCCAGGGAATACCTTCCCTTTTGTACTCCTCCTGCTCATATTTGAACACATGTTGGTTGAAGTAATGCTGTAGGTGCTCATTCGCATAGTTAATGCACATCTGTTCAAAGCTGTTGCTCAGACCGAAGTCCTCGAAGCCGAATATATCGAGAACGCCTGAAATGATAATTATCATCATCATCATCATCACAAATGATAATACGATAATACAATATTTATTTATACATGCTTACTCTACTACTTTCTGAAACGTTCACTGTGTTAGCATAGCAATTGCTATAAGCATTGAAATCTTTTAAATATTAATATCTTCTATAGCAATATTATTTATGATTACAACTTTGTATATTTTTGTTTATAATTACAATTGATAGCTGAACAGCCGTGTGTAACGTGCGGGAGTACGAAACATTATAGTTCAAAACACTATCTGCTAAGCCACATAAAAAACAAAATTCCACGATGACAAAACAGAGATATAAAGAAGCGTAAATCCATAATCCGAATTGTTTACCGCGGTTAGAACACATATCTTTTGGTCTCTTCTGACAATGTATGATGCAGAATGTCTTACATTGTCAGAAGAGACCACTATAAACAAAAGCATTTTCTACGAATTTTTTTGTTGAATTGTTTACAAGTGGCTTAAGTAGGTTTTACATTTTTAACACTTGTTTCCATAGATTAGTATAGCTAACATATCTCACCTATACTATGTCCCTGATGTTCTCTCAGAGTATCTTTTTTAGAGAGCAATGCGTGATTGACTTGCATTACGATCCAGTCGAATAGAGCACCGTACAAGCATTTGGCCATAGCGTCACGAGTCGCTATCGCTTCAGGCAACCTGGAATCATAAGGAGGTGATAAAGAGAAACAGATAAAAATCTCAGAGTACTGTGGCAAAAGACTTAAAATTTATTGTTTAGAGGCAGTCATGTGGATCTTCTTCAAAATTATGAAAGTTTTTTTTTAAATCTATTTTAAGAATTCACATTTTGATTCTATCGGTTGATTTATTTATTTCAAGAATATAGCAATAAAGTTCTAAAGATTTTTATCAATGATTAGGATTCTTCTGTTGCATGTCAATCAATCATCTCATTGAAGTTTCGTGTGGCAAAGGTGTTTATAAGTCTCTCTATAAATCGATCTTATTTGGCAATCAATATAAAAAATGTATCTCAAATACTTGAGTTTAAGTTTTTAAAATTTTAATCTCTATTGACCTCTGCATCTAAACCATGTAGCACATTAACACAGTATATTTAGTTACGGTACAACACCTTCATTCCACAAACACTTAGATAGAAGATGCTAATAAGTGTTAACTATACCTGTAATTGATAACGAGTGTTTCGCCCGAGGCTCTGGCGCGTTTCGACGTGAGGGCGGCAAGTAATGTCTCCTGTTTAACACGTAGGAGTGAAGATATCAATGATACTACTTCAGGGTTCCTTACACCAACTGCTTCGTCATGGTGATATGATTTCCGTTGCGGCTGAAACTCGACATTACCTGAAAATTTCAATTTATTATGTAAGCATAAATGTATGATTTAACTTTTTTAACGCCAAGAAGATGTTAGCCGATGAGTTAGATCTGGCGGCTCTTATTCTAAATAAAAATGGATTATATGAAGAGTTTAAAAATTTTGTCTACTCATATCATGTGATTATCCTAACTTAGATATATTTAAAAATATTACGCTTTATACTTTTCCCGAAAGAACCTGTACTGCTCTAAGCATACATCGAACTTTATACTATCTTTTTGGACACATGAGCAGACAAACTATCAGCTTTTATAATATTAGAAATTGCCAGAATGTGGCGACTAAACACATTCAATATTGTTCCTGTTCCTATAGTCCTTTCAACTACAGGTGTAATCCCAAGATAACTTCACACAATAAAACGTTAGATTTCTCACTCATACATATAAAAGCCTCCAGAAAGGCGCTATTCTTAACGCTGTAAAATAGTAAGATTTTTTTTTTACAGTCAGACAGTCAAGCAAATACAACAGACACACAAACCTCTCTTAGTAGAAATGATTTACGCGTTAACGATTTTGTCCTCACATAATTGGCTTACTTGACCTAGGAATAGAAACCCGCAATCGTACAGGTTCCACACGGATCTTCAGCTGACGAGGACCAGGGATAAAGTAGTATAGCAAAATCGGACAAACTAAAAATAAATGGGAGTGCCAGCACAAACGAGTCTATTTGCGCGCAAATACCCTAGCAAAGAAGGTAGTTTTGAAGAAGCCTTGCAGAGCTTGGCTACATCTTAGATAATACGAGTATACAGGTACACCAATATGTGAGGCGGTTCTTGTCATCGTTCCATCAGAGATTGCGCGAAAGACGTCGCACCCCAATCTAAGGCTTTCTAGTTCCAGGGCAACCGACTACCTCACTCTATATTCTTATGTACTGGCCTATTTATTTTTAGCTTCTAATGGTGCTCCCATATAATGGTGACAGTTGACGACGTTCGGCAGTTCCGTTTTATCGTACAGGGCTAACAAGGACATCATCGTGATATACCAGTCACTTGGAATATTTACTTTATTTCATGAGAATATTAACCTTGTTAATTGCATCACTAAGTAAGTTGAGGTTTGAACATTTAAACTTTCTATTTTGAAGAATTATTTCACCTTGACCCTAGATGAAAGAATTTTTCAAGATTTTCTTGTGATTAAAACTAAAATTATCAATATTCTAGATTTTACATTATAGGTATTTTATTATTATTCTCATAAAATATGTAAAAATGCGTAATTTCCTTACGAATAAGCTTACGGCACACCTACTGGCAATCAGGTAAACTTGCTTTTAAGCAGTGACAACAGTTTCTTATCATATCTGCCCGTCCTACAGAGGACTAATGATGCCATTCAGCAATAATAAACATAAAGATCATGATGATGAGATGAAACACTGAGAAAGTAAACAATAATAATAATAGTCTGGCTCTCCAATTCAAGTAGAAATCCTCCTAAATATGTTGCCCTAAATAGTTTGTCATACGTTTTTAAATGATCGCATCAACCTTGAAATAGTATTTACAAATACTATATAAATAAAAACATAGTTGCGAATCACGCTTTTAATATTTCGTAAAGTGGAGCGTGGAATAAACCACATTCATCACCTTTTGATGTATATTATTCATAGAAAGCGCACAAAATTATTTAGCAAAGTAATAACTTTTACGGCGCTCACAAGATAGGAATTATAGTGCCAATACAAACATTTGTCTATTTTAATGTCAATTCAAGAGTGATTTGTGATGCAAAACCGTAAATCTGTTTATCTGGACCACCTCTTCCTATAGGTGGTACTGAGTTAAGGTCATTGGTTGAATGTTTAATAGGATGAATGTGTTCAAAAACTTACTAGTCCTCAACATATTACTAAGCTGATGACACAAAGTTTACAATTATTATGATCCTTCTGATGCGATTAAGAACTTCGACTAGAGACTTTGCAAAAATAATTGTCAATTAAAAGTTCTACAAGTCGATAACTACGAGTGGCAATCTCTAGTGGATCGAGTAGTAACAAGAGGCCGTAGATCTGAGTATGTGGTCGTAATTTCAACTCGATACCTCCATGAGTTCCCGAGATAAAGGGGCTTGACAGACAGACGGACAACAAAGTGATATAGGATCACTATATCACTTTGTTGTCTGTATAAGATCACACACAAGGGTTCCGTTTTTTCCCTTTTCGAGGTACGGAACCCTAAAAATGGAGAAGATTCTTTATGCGGTTGTAGTTTTTAGTACCTCAGACACAGGCTGTATATCACCTCAGAAGTTTCAAGACTTGGTAACTTCTTCTTTTAAAAGGGTATTCTCATTTGGTCCCATTTAAAGTTGAAAAAAAATCACCTTAGTGATACTTACGAATACAGTTTATCATACTTCGTACTTAACCTTTATTAAAAATGTCCTGGTAATTATTAAGACATTTTTTTGACGGTAACGAAATAAATATTAAAAAAAATTCAAGTTATTACATAAAATATGTTACATTGTGTATTGTCATTAACTAAATAGGGCTGATAACTACAGTATCACATTTTAATATTAAAAATGCATATTGCATATATATCAATGAGCCAATGATAAACCATTTGTCGTGTATGTTATTAACCTTTCAACAATTTTTATTTATAACATCATTGGTATGTTGTATTACATTAATATATTCCTGACTTGGAATAATACAAGTGCCTATGTATCTGGTAGGCATATAGGTGCACATTATGAGGAAAATTTAATTAATTTCCTATTACAAACATACATCATATTGTTAGAACAGTCTGCATACGAATTTATTTATAAATATGATTTTATTATGCTTGGGTATATTAACCTCATATGCTGACCGTGATAATGAACTCTTATCAAGCCAATTACGTTTCTTTTATCTATTGATACGACATAAATTGAACAAATAGTATTGCATTACGACTTACCTAAAAGAAGGACGGCCGACAGCACAGCAAACAAACGCCTTTGTTTATCCATGGTGAAACCCACCATTTCCATGGATTGTTTTAACCGCGAGAACTCATACTGTTCGTCAATACCGGGCACCTCACTACAACCAGTCCTTGATAAATAATTATATTTGTCCACACTGAGTAAATGCAATTGTTCCTTCTCCTGTTCCGACGCACCAGCCAATAAATAATAAAACACATGATAATTCCGTTCGTTACGCCCCTGACTGCATATCCTTGACTTTTCCAGAAGATATTTTTGCACAACAGCTCCATGCACCATGCCATTTTCCTTGTAATTCACTTGAATAAATTTGCCAAATCTACTCGAATTATTATTATGTGCAGTTTTCGCGTTACCAAATGCTTCAAGTACTGGACCTGCACTTAATATAGTTTGTTCTACGCCACTTCCATGAGATCCCTTTTGGCTTAAAGCTGTTAAATGATGCAACAGAAAGTTCGTACTTTCGGTTTTTCCTGATCCACTCTCCCCACTGATCACTATACATTGATTGGTTCTCTCTCGGAGCATACAGTGATACGCGGCGTCGGCTACAGCAAAAATATGAGGTGGAAGACTGGAACCTATCCGTTTGTTCTGATATAATTTCACATACTTCGGATTGTAAATAGGGTAGAACTTAAACGGATTGAGCGCAATCAATATCGAACCGACATACGTGTATATGTAACCGGCCGCGAACCTCGCCCTCAAGTTATCTAACAATGTCTGTTCATTGAGCTCGGGCAACTGACACAAGTCAGGATATTCTCGATCTTTTGGCTGATAAAGGAACCGCTGGAAGTAATCCTTTATCAACTGTGGATCCACGGAAAAGTTTTCCATCCATGGCTCGTCGGGGATTTTCTCTCGGAGGTAGAATCTGAAAATAAATTATAGTTGAAATATAATCTAGGAAGACTGCATGAAAGTGTGTCTAAAAATATAAAATTACTTTTGAGTCATAACGATGAAATCTAAATATTTGTTAGTTGTGGTACAGTTTTAGTGGGCATGTTTGATCGAGCGGCAATGTTTCAGTTTGATTGGCAGGATGGACACGCCGTTATCACGCCGCTGCCGCAGGAAGAGTGAGTCACGAGTTACTCTCGGATATTATCCCCAATCACTGCAGCAGCCCCTCATTAAACAACTGACTATTAGTTTAACCGAAACTTATTTACGCTATTAGAGTATTTAGACTGTCATGTCCTTAGGTAGCTATTATTAGATACGTTTCTTTACATTATAATTTTTTAAGTATCTGCTGAGAATAATTCAGATTAGGTATTAGACATATTTAATGTAAACAAGACGATGAGTTTAAGTCAAATTTAAAACTGAATAAGGAAACATACGTTTAAATTACAGTAGCCGCGACCCGTAAAATAAAGTAAAGATGAATCATCGCGAAAGAACATAGCAGACATACTATGTGAATAGTATTGCTGTGACAGGGCATTTAATGGATACAAATATACATAAAGGTACAAATACATGCAATGCAGGTGCTTAAGGCAAGGTTAGATTTATCTCTCGTAACACATAATTGCTGGAATAAGACAATTACCAGAAAACCTGATTTGACATTGTTAAACATGTTCTTTGCTACTGTTTATACGACGCAAAAACTTTAAATACTAAATTACATTTTTTTATTTAATTAAATCATTAAGTCAATTAAACACTGCACTATTAACCGAAAAGGAGAAATAGTGAATGTTTAAACATTCAGGGCCAAGCCATATATGTATAACAGACACATCAGTAATTTAAATATGTGTGTTAGTACATAAAAGGTCTTTATTGTTTTTACCTGTTATATTGTCCAGAACCAGTGTTATTGGGCCATAATAACATAACTGCGACAGGCGACTCGTTGGGTCCGAGGCGACGCTCCTTACACTCGCCGCTGAGCATATCTCCGACCACCTATTGTTCAACATTTACGTCAAATAAAACTGTTATTGCATCACTGAAAGGGGTAACTGGTCAAAAACATATTTGAAATATTAAAGAAAATTAATTAAAAAAAGTAAAATAGCATCTCACTTACATTCGAGTACTACATGGAAATAAATTAGATTTAGGTTAGCAAGGCTCAATGTTTTAATTGATAATTGTAATGGAAATAGAACAAATGTTATCTCTTTTAAAATAGCGAATTGTACTAAAAGAGTAGTGACTAAAATGTATCATTGAACTACGGACTCATGCTAGGAGTGTTTCAATGATGACCAAGCAAAGGAAGTAATTGTCTTTAAATCTAGTGACTCATTCTGATGAAAAAAAATTTATTGTCCAAGCCATTTCGACTGACATTTAATAAATTATTGTACAGAAATAATTACATAGTAAGTAATTAAAATATCTCAACAATATGCATATGACTGTAAAATGTAAGCAATGTGATTTATGTATTGTTATCCCTCTCATGCGGAGACATAAGTACCCAGAAATAGAACATTAAAATATATCTTACACACTATCTTAAAACATAACAAGAAAGTGGTTCACTTATCAAAAAAAAAGAAATTATTTGGGTTATAAACTGACAATAATGAATGTCTTAAACCTTTATTTATAGCTATGCTATGTGATTTATAGCTTCAAGGTTGCTCTTTTGTTGCTTGGCAGTTATTTAAAGCAGACATTGTAGCATAGGCCTCTCCTATTGCACGCTACTTCGATCCATTTTTGGCTTCTCACATCCAGCTCCTGCCAGCCATCTTGCGCAAATGAGAGAGGCCTATGTTTAGCAGTGGATGATGATGATTGTAGCATATTAATAGCCGTCTAAGGTAAGTTGCAAACTACTTAGACAGGCCCTAAACTGCAGTTTATTTCCTGTCTGTGTTTTTGAGTCCAGTCGGATGGGATAACTATCTTTAGAATCGATGAGAATTAGAAATAGAGCAACTGCCTCAGTATGCCAGACATCCTATTTCATCCTTACTGTAATCTGCTATGATAATGGATGGATGCTATGGCTCTTGAGAGTTTAAGGAAACTCTCTTAAAAATTGCAGGAGCAGGTTCATTGCCTCCATAGGAAGGAGGCACTGAATAGTCTGTCATGGTCTATATTTTTTTTTTAATTGATAAAGGACAGAGCAGGCAATCCCTTCTTCAAGTCATTCCCTTTCTTGAGAAGAGGTAATTGTTTCCTTTCCAACAGTGACAGTGAAAAGACTTATTGGTTAATACAACTTTAGTTTACTTTAATACAACAAGTTCAAATGTATAATTTCTATACTATATTCTATACTATAATTTCATGAGTTGGAGTGACTCGCTATTTCAGTCTATCTTACAACTATTGTCTTGTTTGAAAGGAGACTATAGTACAATATATGTAGTAGCGAAGCTTGACAGTCACTGATGGTTAGGTTGTGAAGTATATTAATTTTGCTAGTTTGCTTCATTAAAGGGTATTAAAGGAAACTAGCAAAGCAAGTAAGAAAGAAAAGAAAATAAGTTAACTGACTACATGCTTTAAAAAGTTTTAATGTTTCTAACAACAGTCAGTGACCTCTAAAGCTATTAATTAAATTACTAACAGACAAATGAATCCTTTTAAATTTAGATTTTATTTACATTACCTCAGCAAGTTCATATGGGCCACCGGAACCATTTGTAAGGCCAAGTTTGTCAGTAATGCAACAGACTATTTCTTCAGAACTTGTCTGCTTTGAGGCTTCCACTGACAAAGCCTCGTAATGTGGAGATAACGCACCCACATACACCTAAAGATGTATAAATATGAGACTTAATAATAGTAAAATTAGCAGCAGCTACTCTGAAGCAAAATGTACATCTTAATAAGAAGTTGAAGAAAAACAAACATCTCTTCTTCCTCATATCAACATAGGAATACTTTGCACAATTTTATAAATAGTTATAACTCTAAATAAAATTTAAGAGAACAGTCATTATTTTTAGAATATACTAGAATGTTTCATTATGAAAGTAAATTGAATACAATTATACTGGAGAGTTAAAACACATACATATAGTAATATTATAGTGATATGCAATTCTAATTAAAACTTACATAATATCTAACAGTACTGGGATAAAGCCGAGAAATTAATGTGAGCGGGTAAGGTGACAAAATTGTATTAAGTCTTAGGTGTAACAATTCAAAAGTTACAGTAGCGATAAATTCTACTGTGTTATGTAAACGGGATTGAATCTACATATATTTAAATTTTGTTGCATGTTCTGAACATAACAACAATATAATTATTATAAACTGCATCTATGAATAACAATGACCCCTTGGAATGCATTTCTGCTGTTGTTATAGCAAAGTTTTTTAATTAAATTTATCAGAGCAGTTGTATACATAGATAGTTAGTTAGTTATGCATAGATGGTTGCAGACAGTTGTCATATCAAAACCCTTATAATTATAAGTGTTGAAAGCCCTAAAGAAAGCTGGCCTGCTATAAAACTGATGAGAATATTTTTATTTACTTTATTAGTATTCCCAAGCAATTACTGAATATATTTAAATATTGTATGTGTTAAGTTATTATTACATTAAAATACAAGGAAAACGATATTGTGTTAGTTCAATAGGGAAACAAACTAATAAGTGTGGGTATTATTTTACACTCGTGATTAGAGTTCTCAATTTAGTCAAAAAGAAAAGTCTAGTTCAAAACTGGAGTTTTTTTGTTGGTTTGCAAAAATTAATATGATAATGAAACTCATTAAAAAGTCCAGTAATGCCACCATTTTTAACCAATAGTAGTGTATTTCCTAAAGTTGACATCTAATTTCTAACCAAATTCAAATAGGAAATTAAAATGAAAGGCAAATGCATAAACTGATCAAAACTGAGTGATATTAAGATAGTCAATTTACAAAATGTTAAGTTTTCAAATCAAAGAATGCTGTAAAAAGAGCCTACTAAAAATGTTGCAACTGTTACTGACCTGCACAATATACCTGTGATTTTCAGAATGAGCCATTTTGCAACATTGTTCTATTCTACAAAACTCAATACAATGTCTGTAATGCTCAATTTAATATATGAAAACTTCATTTCGATAGAAAGCTTTTATCTTGCTTCATATGTTCTTGAGTGTTTACATGCATTATAAGTAAACAGTTTCTTTATTTTCTTTTGATGTCGAAGTCTAAATTTCTGTAGATATATATAATTTTTCCGGCTCTTTTCCAACCGGAGCTTTATAAATTACAGATTTTCAGTGTACGACACCTGACCCCCACTGAGTCGCACAGGTAGTCAACCGTGACAAGTTTATAATATATCATGTCCTTACTAATGATCGCCGCTCAGAAAAGCAATCAATTAATAGTGTGTTGATTATTCTCGGGATACACTGCGCAAATACGAAGCCAACAATAAGACACAAAGAAGAGAAATCTCAGATTTGGGTCACATGCTGATTGAATAGAACACTTGTCCAGCTTACTTCGTAGACATTGATTAGCACTTTTCTTTTACTGTTCAGTGGCACATTGAAGTAAATAATCACTTAGATTTTTTTTTAGTATCTCTACTTATAATCAGCTTATTACAGTTAAAAAACAACGCATCGAATACAAAACTATAGCGAAATCGGTGTCTCCGACAACCTGTTATTTGTCAAACACAATCATAAGAATGCACCACGTAACCGCACCTGATTTAAATTAAAAATGGCAAAAAACATAAAAAAGATTTCAATTCTTTATACAGCTTTGAATATGTTAGAGAGTTATTTCTATAAACAATTTGATCAGAGAAATCTAATCTATTGAACCACCATTTTTATTTGTGTCCGACTTGAATCGTGTATCCATGTAAAAATAAGCGATTTAAAATACATTCTAAACTTATTAAGTTCTCCTATTTAGACGAACTTCTTCAATTTGCCGTATAATAGCATAGACAACCACTGTCAAGAATAGACAACAGAATTACATTTTGACTGTTTTTTTTTTTAATTTTTCCTTCTCAGTGTGGACATGGGTTATAGCTTCGTATAAAAATAAAAGCAAAAACATTGATATTTTTATGACATTAGAGTTTATGACATCTATTACTATTTACTTTTTGTTAACATATTATTTGTAGCAATGCAAAGGAGCATATGTAATTTGCTACTCCTTTAATTGCTTGAAATTAAAACGAGTGAAGTAGGCACTAAAAGGTTTTTCGAAAGACTACAAAGTTATGAACGGTGTACTTTCATTCGTTAGTTTCCTACGTTGATAAATATATCCTCAGAATAACAAAATTTGTTTTTATATCTATTTATAGCAAATATACAGCTTTAGTAAACCCAACTCTTATAACACCCATTGAATAAAATAACTATTGATACTGCATTGCAAAATAAAAGTTCTTGCTCCGCTTAGTATTTATACAATTTCCTAAAATAAACCGTTAGACTAAAGTCCGCAAAAGAATGATCACCTCTCCGGATCGGAGTATTCTCCCTTTGTTATGAAGAGATATAACATGGAACGGATGTTATGTATCTGTCTACAAAGTGAAGACCAAGACCCCGATGATATTAATAGCAGCCTTCAAGAAGGCCGATAAGCATTATCATTGCCAATGCCACTCCTACAGCAATGAGTGGTAGTGAAATCTCAGCCAGTCAGTATTCTCGGCTTTAACAACTATAATACACACTTGCAGTGACCAATTGTAGGCCCATTTCCCTTACAGTCTTGTCAGTTCTTAGGCACAACAAAATACAGTTATTCGATAAACGATTTTTTTATTAAAAGAGATAAGACTACTTGTATTAGGTGCTAAAAATTAATGTCAAGCAAGTAGTAAAACCAAAAAAGGCAGAGTTAGGTCCCCTAGTACAACATTAATAATAGTTAATTATATTGTCCACCGTTTAATAAAACTTTTGCACCCAACAAAACCTTCCAACTACTTTTAAAAGGTAACCTCAAATCACCGCCGAGCATTAGATTTGCCAATGTTACTGTAAAAAATAAAACCTCAGTGTGTTATCTAGGATTTTCTTTTTGAAAAAGTTTCTTTCTAAACCTTTTCATTTATCGAACATATTAAAATAGTTAATGAAAAGTCTAAAAAGAGTTTCTGTGCATTGACAAGGATATCAACTGCGACATTGGGTCTATCATTTAATACATTAAAGATCATATACGGAGCTACTTATTTAGGTTCTATGTGCTATGGTGCACCTGTATGGGCTGATAGGGCGACCGTAGGCGCGGTCCGTCGCAAACTGTTCCAAGGCCAACGACTTGCACTGATATTTTTGTGCAAGGCATATAGGACGGTTAGCACTGAGGCTTTGCCGGTGTTGGCGGGTGTGCTTCCGGTCGATCTCGAGGTGCAGAGACGTGCAGCCATGTACTATTCAAGACAAAACATGGAATGCGATTTTTTGGGCACGCGGGATCGCGGTAAAATTACAAGATTGTTTCAACAGCAGTCCGATGTCTATAATGACCTCATAGACGAATGGCAGCAACGTTGGGACGAATCATCCAAGGGGCGCCATCTTTACCAATTCTTTCCATCTGTTCGCGAACGGTTGTCGAGGACATGGCTTGAGGTGGATCACTGTGTCGCTCAATTTCTTACGGGTCATGGTAACTTTAAGAGCAAGTTGTATTCATTTAAATTAGTCGAGTCACCATTGCGTCAATGCTCAACACCTAACTCTCACTATGAACAATCTGCTCATCATATCCTCTGGGAATGTAGTCTTTGGTATAATGAACGTAATATAATGCTGAATAGCTTGCAGGTGACATCTGGGGCGGTATACTATGGGGATCTTGTGTCAACTAGGGTGAATTTCCGTGCGTTTAGGCGATTCTGCCATACATATTATAGAAATCAAATATAGCTCACGTAGGACCCGTAATATTTTGTGGCCGTGGTGCTTCCCTGTTTAAAAGGGTGTACCTATGCCTATTTTGCGTCATTTTGTCTCCCGCTTTGCTAAGGAGGGAAGTGGATTTACTGTATTTCCAACTCCTCCAATTTTCTTCTGATTAATTTCGTTGCGGGTTCCAAGACAGTTTAATTTCTTCCTGGCACTTCCCGAGTGTCATAACTCGGTGTGTTCGTGGGTAACTGCTGTGGATCCTGGTGTACAGGAGTTACAGTGGTGGGTGTGTGGGTGTGTGGGTGGGATTAGTCCCATAAAAATACACAATTTGTGAATTAACGTATAATGATACTGATTCCCTTAGCTTAACGTCGCACGGTTTGTTTTTGGGAGATACTACCAACAATGTAACAATTTTTATTTTATAGAAAAAGTTTATTTGAGCAATTTACTTAAAATTGCCAAATCGGAATAGGTGAATCGAAAAAAAAAATTCACAAAATAAAACAAATAGTTAACATACACTAATTATCTATAAACTTTTGTAACATACATACTTTTGTACAAACAAATGGTAACATAATAGCAGAAATAAGAATAACCTTGTGCTGCCAGTAATTAGCCTCCAAAAAATAGTAGATCATTCAGATGACAGAGAATTTGCTTCTATAAGAAAATCCCTAATCAATATACAAAATCTGTACATGAACAAAATTGAAACTTTAGTCAAGCAGAAACTAAACTACATTCATCCTTTCTCTTTAAGTAAATCGTCTCAACCTAAAACTGCAATTTACAGAAATACCCATTACGTACTGTGACAATTAATATTAAGACAGTTGTTAATGTCTTCTTTAAACCACAGTTTACTAAATTAAATATCTGAGTAGGTATAATTCTAGAGAAGTAACTACGTTATCAGATCTTCCGTTAACTCTCTTTCAGAAAGTATTAGTCTAAATATTTGTATTTAAAACCATAAAGTCAAATAGCTAATCGTAAAATTATTAAAAATGTATAATACGCCCCATGCCAGTCCATATTCACTCATATTTCATTAATTTTTATTATTTTTGAAGTTCACCACTCCAAAACGGATTTTGCCTAGAGAAGTATTTTAAAAGTCGCAACTTTTGCCCGCACTAGACTACACGCCTACACGCCCCACAACTAATCTTTAAGAAGCTTTGTTGTAAGCGTTAATCTTGATGTTAGAAACGAATTAGCGGCGAAAAAGCGGCGGTAGCCTAGAGGTTAAGGCATTGGACTTGCGATCAAGAGGTCGTGGGTGCGAATACTGGCCCACTCCTAACACAAGCAATTTGGCTTAGCGTGAGGGGTTAACGGAAATACTAGTAATTTCGGTTGCTAGTAGACCTTTAAAAAAAAACGTTATGCAATCTTACAACAACATCGTAAAACACCATTTTAGCAAGTAACTAAGCGCCCTTAACTTCGATCAACAATAGCAATTGCTATTGCTATTGCATTGCCGGTACCTGCATCTTCTATAAACTGATATTTTTTTATATTTTGGACTATCACTTTATGAAAAAATAAAGCAACATATCCTGTTATAGATTATCATCTTTCAATTATAACCAAACTGTGTACACATTTCTTTTTACACTGAACAATATTTTCTAACCAAATTATAATACACACGCGCAGATCTACGCATACACTCAGGCAGACACACATGAACGTTTGATGATTTCTATTTCTTTTATTTATGTTTATGTTTCGCTTCATTGTTTTTATCTTTTTTGTCTGTGCTTTAAGTTTTAATGTTTTGAATCTAATCAAATAAATCACATAGGCTATTAGTCTCGGCAAACGTAGTGAAGGACGCCCACAGGCCAGGTGGAGTGACGATTTGCGCAAGATGGCTGGCAGGAGCTGGATGCGAGAAGCCCAAAATCGATCGCCCAATGCGATAGGCTGATGATGATGATTAGAAAGAAGTGGTTTGAGATTTTTTTATTCTTGAATCCTTGACTTTGTTTCGGCATTTCTTCATTCACAGAAAAAACTGGCAATATATAAGTAAATAAAAAGATCTAGTAGGCAAATAATTTCATTTATAATAATAAATGAAATTATTTGCCTACTAGATCTTTTGCCATAGTGCCAGGTATCTGACCGTGGCTTACTGTGGATAAAGGTACTTTTTAAGCCAGGCTTCTATAAGTTGAGCAGAAATATGCCCAGTACTTCTTTAAGACAATATCAAGCAAACTAGACTTCATTCGGTACTTGACTTTGTGATTATTGGTATTACTCACTATTATCCGTGTTGATATTTAGAACACGTTTTAAGCATGAGTAGATAAGTAAATATTGTTATTGAAAAAAATTCTGTTACTAGGTACTATTGAAAATGCTAGCCATTTATACATTCCAAATCAATGTCAACGAACGATGCAAGGATACCTTATTTGAAATCAATTCCTTCCCAATTTACAATAAGATGACAGTGCCATCGTTAGACTGCAATGATCAGTGTTAACTGATTATTGTAGACTAAGTAATGATTCTGAACTTTCAGATTTTGTAAATCAGCATATTCTTGAAAATTAAAATAGTAGTAAGTAATTACTTAGTATTGATCGAAAATCCGTGAGGGCTAAGCAGTTACTGCGAGTTTTTACAACTACAGCCAGCATGAAATCTTACAAAGGTGATACTAGATGGCGCTCTTAAATTCCACTCAAAAATCAGTTTTCTGTTATTGCAACTATATAACGAAAAAAATAATTATTAAAAAGCATTTGGCATGCAGTTATACACAATACACACTATTGCATTAGTTGTGCATCGAATAGTATCTTAAATAGTATTTTCCTAGTATAGCAAATGCTATGAAAAAAAAAATGAAAATAATAATATAATAATTAATATTAAAAGGGTGTGAATAACGTATTAGTTAATTCAATTCCTAGATCTCCTTATGTACCTATTGTATATGATTCATAACAGTCAACAGTGTAATTATATTTTATCAAAAACTTATTATAATGTGCAAATGTCAATTGGCTCAACCTTCTTTTAATCTTTATTACTATTAACATAGGTATTTGTTTACATCATTGCCTATGTACCTCTTATACAGTCACATTACACTCATAGTAACTTTAACGCAAAATAATATGAGATACTTTAACTATAAATACAATTATGAGATTTTTCTTCAATTAAGTACATAACGTTACAATAGTAACAAATTAGGGCACACTCTCAAATGTATTTACAAATATATTGTACTACTAGACGCTTTGCCTTAAGGCACTAACAGACAGCGAGTTATCTGCAAGTTTGTTTGAGAGGTGGGTTAAAAGTAATATTAATATTTACATAAAACGCTAATGCCATTAGCGTAAAACAGTGCTTAACAAATATGATGGCTATTTCTATTCCAAGAGAAATCCTCCGTTAATACCAGATGCCTTGGTGATGAATAACATTTTACCTAAATTAAAATAATTCACATAGTTTTAAACGTAACGTTAAACCACCAGCACATATATCTTATAAATCACTTTTGGAATATAAAGTTTTTGCACAACATGTCCTAGATCACATAAGCAGTATACCCCTCGTGGATCTTCTATGTGTGTGCAAAGCGGACGCGTCCCTCCTAGCCGCAGCAGCAGCAACAGCAGCGCGGCGAGCGTGGACTCTACCGTGCTTAGCGAGATGGTCGGACCGTGCAAACCTCTTACCGCATTCATTGCAGCGATACGGTTTGTCACCGGAGTGGCTACGCCTATGTCGGGCTAGCTCGTCCGAACGCGCGAACCGCCAAGAGCAACCACTCCAAGTACAACAATATGGTTTCTCGCCACTGTGGCGTCGTAAATGAGCACGGACGTGCGATGCTTTTGCGTACAATTTACCGCACTCCTCTACTGGACAGCGAAAGGCATTGAGTTCTGTACAGAATTTTGGCTCACCATAGGAACGAACTTTAACTTCACTTCTAGCTGGCGTGTAGCTTTGATCCAGCCAGTTTTCTTGTAACCCAATGTAATCGTGAGTTTGTAGAGCGCACAAAGATTCCGTACTACTACGTAAAGAAGAGCTGGAACATGACTGTGGACTTGGAGAATCATTCGAAATGTCACTGCTTAAAGCTTCCATGAGATATTCATCAATTATACTCTTATCGAATTCAGCGATCTCAAACGGAGGTCCATTAATGATGTTCGCATCATCTTGGCTAAAGCCACTAGCACCATCACCAAAATCGTCACAGTTAAATAAATCGCTAAGCTGCAAGTCGCAGTCTGAATCCAGTGACGGCAGTTCAAAGTTTATAAGACTCTCTGCAGGTGAGAACTCAAAAAGCGGTTGATCATTGAGAAGAACATCCTCAAGTACTGGCCAGTCGCAATACATCTTTTAGCTGAAATAAACATACAAAAAAAAAAAATATTTATTTCTTACTTAAAATTTTAAAAGAATGAATGAATAAATATGTTTGAAATTATAGACTTACGATTTTGGTCACTTTCGCGCCAGTTTTGTTCGTGGTTCGACACAAAATCTGAAAGCTTTTGATAGCAACGTGCGCGGCTATGTTATCAGGATGAGCTGCAGGCAGCCGATTGTGTCGCGTCCCGGGAATAGAATGAGCGGAGTAGAGATCGAGCGCCGGACATCGAGACGGACGCGCGATAACGCCGTTGCCGATCACAGATTATTGGCGGATCCCCGCACATGCCCGTCATCGTCATCACCTATCACTGATGCCTGTAACGACATTTTAAATCTATAGTATCGTTGTAATTATCTATTCCCTGCGTAAATTATTAACAATTGCTATGTGCAATTGGTAAGTACCATACCGGCGTCGTACAATGTGCGTTCTATGTATGAGTTGGTCATTCAACGTTAATCAGCTTTGTTTTTGTCTACATTTTAATAAAGTTTGCAGTTAAAGTAATAAAACATGTAGAAAAATATCAATTAACAAAGCCGTTTATTGAACATTATTGAGAATCCGATCATTTATTATCCGTTTTTATAGTTTGTTTGCTTTATTTCTTTGTCAGTTCTTTTACCTAGTTCAATTTAATAGTATTAATAATATCTAATGCATGATTTATGGCAATTACTTTCTTCCAGCCAGTGTCAATATTTTTTCCATGTAATTTACTATTTAAATATTTAGCTATGCATACCTGCACTTTTAGGTTTGAGTATGAATACTGATTTAATAACTAATTACAATATGTTTATTTTATCATGATGTTTCAAAGAAACTACCAATAAATTAAATACATAAATAATCACTCGTTATTTAATGAAATAATACTTACTCAGATTCAAACTTCTTCTTAATCAAACTTTAAAGTTTATGGCACACAATACACAGTAATAGTGCTTAGCTATGGCTCTAGGAAAGTAAAGTTTTAGTGACGAATATCCGTTCAACCGCAAGCATCGTCAAAGTTAGCGGTTTATCCGACTGTTTTGGCAGCACTACGAGAGTCCCAGTTACCTACGTGCTCATTGTGTATTATTGTTTGTAATTTTTCGCTGCCGAGAACGATAACCTCATACTGATTTATTTTCACATAATAAATGAGACGCGACTCGCATATTATGGCGTATTTTATTTATAAAAGTACGTCGTGTTTCCTACTACATGATTAATCATACAAAATGCATTCATTCATAAATTGCTCTCAAATTCATTCAAGGGTTACTTATCTCTATTTTTCTGTTATAATAGCTTGTATTGTATTTAAGTAAATAATAGAGTGATACTGTATATAAAGGGTAATACTGTTTAAGCAAATACTTATTCAGTATAGTTGGTTCAGCTTGTTTATATTTGTTTTAGTATTATTAACCGTTTTTTTTCTTAATTTTGGTAATCTGAACTGAGTCCCTGCACCGTACGAACGGTACAAACACTAAAAACTTTGTGCGGAGAAACCACGAGACATCAAATACATGAAAATGGAGGATTTTTTTTGCCTATAAGCCACACCTAAAGATTGCAATTTACGGCTGTACTCTTTAATTTACTTTCTTTAATGTTGTATAATCATCATCATCATCTCAGCCGAAAGACGTCCACTGTTGGACATAGGCCTCCCCAAGGTTTGCCACAACAACCGGCCCTGTACCGCCAGCATCTAATCATGTGTTATTGTATAATAAACAATATTGTTTAAAAGTTAAATCAATAAACAAGTATCAATCGTGACACTGTTCATTAGTTAACTTGTCAACAGTTTCACGAAGTTGAGACTTAGCTCTCAAGACATCATTACCTACCTATAAGTCATAATGCTCTTCCTAGTACAATGTGCTAGGGAAAATTATGAAGGTTTTACGCAGATGTATGTTTTTTGCGTTGCGTCACAGCGTCGTCTAGCCATCGCTATCGGTTGCGGCGCGCGGCGGCCGTGCCAGCCACCGCCAGCATATGGCAATCACCGATCGCACTCCGAACGATCACGTTACATTGACATCCGATTTTACGCTCTGATATCATTTAAAATATTATTCGGACATTGATATACTTGTATTTGGCTATTATACAAAACAGATATTCTCGAATTCCCAATCGTAGTATTCGTAGTAGTAATAGAATGGTCATGCGACTTTACGATGAAGATGAAGCTGTGGGGAAGGTGTGGAATATAAATTAGATATTGGCATTAAATTTTTATTTTCTGATATTAAAAATAAGACAACATAATTTGAGAGAATCTACTTTATATAAAGTCTGGAGTAGGTATCTCTTGATGAAGAGATTGCAAGATTTCATGAGAAACAGTACCAGTTGAAGTTTTCACATAGACGAATATATTGATTAAACTCAAACTTGTTTTGCCATTACATACAAGTTTTTATATGTATCTTATCTGCATTATTTGTTTTTACCCAAGTGGTGTTTCCAAACGGATGAGCAGTGTCCTACCGGTTCTGAGTAATCTGAGTTATTGTTGGTTATTTCCAAATATCTACTCATTGTGTCATCACATTAAGTTTTTGAGAATTGTCAACATGAAACAACAGGTTTTGTTGCATACTTTGTACTCAGAGCTAGATCAGTCTTCCTACGCTCCTAATTCTTTTACCTCACTTGAAAATGTATCAAATACAGCCTGATAAAGCGATTTCAGTCCCTTAGGTTCTATGAACCTGTGTTACCCTTCGTAATTCCCTGATGCTTTTTTGTATTTTATATAGGGGTCAAACAAACAGACAGGTTACCTCATGTTCACTTACTACCGCCGTGAATAGACACCTGCAACTTCACCTAGATAAGGTGGGAGTACACTCTTTCTTTGAAGGTTTCAAGGTTGTATCTGTCTAGAGATACCGCAGTCGATAATTTTTTCCACGAACTGAAGGCCAATTCCCGTAACAAAAGTTCGGTCACAATTCAGTTCCGATCAACTTTCGATCTCACAACTGTCATAAAAGGTTTTTCGTAGTAAAATCTAAAGTATTACTAAGATTAGCAGATTACCGATTCAATTTTCGGTTACAATACGATATGATCACATTACATTCAACGTTGGATGTTTAATATTTTATCACGAAAAAAAAGGACTGTGTCTTTCCAGCAAAAATCAGTTCGAGTTACATACATATATACCTACATATCGCACCCTCAGTAATATAAGGGGTCAAGTCAACATTTTTGTGAAGTGTGGTTTTAAAGGCTAAGTGCACAAAATAAAAATTTCTACCGGTTAGCACTGACAGAGAAAGAAAAAGGATAATAATTACTAGGTGAACATATTTGTGCCTCTCCCCGCTCGTCTCTCATTTTTAGTGCTACAAGGTTACAAGCAGTAACGTGTCCATATTTGCCGAAAGCGAACTTTGTTCTATCCGTGTTTGTGCGAAGAAACAGGTGAATTTTGTTCTAAACTTTTTGTATTTTATAGAACAATTTCTAGTTAGGCCTTTATAATATACAAAATTTAGTAAATTTTTGGGTCTCATTCATAATAGATCCCTAAATTGCCAAAAAGTGAAGAGAGAGACGTTTTTGTTGTACTGTATGTACGGGCTTAACTTGAAAGTATTTTTCAATCACTTGTAATTTATGGAGTTTATTTATATTATCATTTTTTATTGCTATTTATAGTATAGTTACCAAAGAATAAATCTGCAAAATTTCACATTTATAACTTAAATAATAAGCATGTTATTCAAAAAATAAGCTGGAACGTAAGAATCCAAAATCTTTAAACGCGATTTCCCAAAAAACCCTTTTTTGTATTATGCCTTTATATTACTAATGGTGCGATATATGTATAAATGTGACCTTGACCCTCTCGAGTTATCATTATCGCCGTATCCTTTTCCTATCTTTTACATATTTTTAATTCCACATAGAACTGCCAATTTTCCCATCTAATTACTATTATTGCGTTAGTGGAACAAAAATTTATAATCGGCAAAATGTGACCTAATAAAACGCATCTGCCTACCCCTCCGAGTAAACCGGTGTTAATCAATCAATTCTTTCGTTGATCTTCACAGTGAGAGAAGTCTCCGGAGGCCCAAAGCTTCCTCCCCTAATTCTAAGGTAAACAGTCAAGGGTTGGTAATGTGTTTGTGTCCTTTATCGGACGTATCTATAGGCGAGGGTAGTCACTTACCACTTACCGTTATTAAAAATTCCATATAAAAAAGCAAATTATGTCTTGTAATGCGATTACATCACTCTTTGCAAGTATTTATTGAATAGTGTTATTCAATTATTCAGTATGTATACTAGACATGGAAGTTATTCCTACTTTGAAATCATATTCATTTGGTAGTGAAGTGATTGGTTTTAGACACAGCGATTTCACATGTGATTGTGATTTCGCCATTAAAATCGATAAAAATTCTTTTTATTAGAGATTACGACCTTTTTTTTAGATTTAGACCTTTCACAAGTCTTGCGATAGCGTAGTAATAATAATTAACTAGCAGAAGTTTTGTAAATCAGTCACCGATGTGATGATGTGAATCAAAATCATATGATTTCCCACATGTGATTGCGATATTGTGCCATCCCTAATGTATAGGTACTTTATAATGAGTAGATACGATACCCGCCGGTGGCTGGCACTGCCACCATCTGTTTACTTACACACTTTGAACTTCAATTGTGTTTATTAATTATTCGTAATTATGTGTTACAGCTACACATCTCCGTTCTGTAGATGTACATCGTCTAAAATAAATCAATAGAAATTTTAGGACAAGTTGAATTTCTATGTATCACTAGTACACATAATCGTAGATAATACTAGTAGCACTGCCAAATAAATGTAGTATTAGGGCAGTAGATACTACTACTATTACTAATAGTACATTTGTTATTTACAATCAATTGATTAAAAGTTATTAGAAAAAAAAACTAAACTATTTACTTGTAACTTTTTTTTTTCGAAGCAAATACGATATTACTAGCTTTGCTTGGAAGTTCTTGTATTTAACGAATGTGAATTGCCAGGAGCGCGAAAACTATTACGGAACGGATCAGAAAGCCAGAAGAGGTCAAGGCTAGTCAACAGTATTGGTGAGTAATGCTCGTCTGAGCTCTAGAAAACTCCTAGGTGCTTCAT